CAAAAAGCTAGACAGTCAAGTCATCACTCTTCACATGCTTCTGATTTTGATAAATGCGGCTGATTAGAGCTCACCTTAAGTGGACTTGATAGTGACATTTGGAGGTTGAAAGATTGGCAAAGTTTGAAAGGTACTAGTACTGAGGAAATTTTCTTTTTACAGCTAGCTTGCTCTTGAAAACTGCTTATAGATCCTCTAAGACTAGCAACCTGCCAAAAAGCAGAAGTTGGAAGAAATATTATAGCACATAAGAGCAAATTATGCATAATAAAAGTAAACTATGTGCAACAACTAATTATTAATAGAACAAAAAGCATAAAGCAAAACGTGAATATCAGCACTTACAAGATGAATAACCAACAGAACAATCTACAATGAAGAGATTAAAAATGATACGAACTCATAGAACAACAATTACATTCAGCTTGACAACTAGTGATATGCCCGTTGTTAGCAGTATCCAAAACTGATTCATTATCATGGCAACAAATATGTAATATGTGCTGCCGACTCATTTATCAGAATTTATTTTTGGGCACATTAAGTTCCAATAAACAAGACATTTTATGGGTTGACCATCTTATATTTTCACGCATATTTCAGTTAAACATTTTTTGCAATGACCAGTATAAGGAAAGAACAAAATAATCAGAAAGCAGGAGTACACAACTAATTCACAAATGAAAATTTCATATTGCAATCACACGTTTATAATTTGCTTAGACCTTCTTCCATCAGAAAAACACGCAATCAATAGTTCAAAGAGAAGATCAACAACAAAACAAAAGAGCATCTACAATGAGACAAAATAATCATCATACCGCATCTAAATCTATTTGAGCAACTACCAATTCCACATCCTTGATCGAAAATTGTGATCCTTGGGCAACCACATCTCCATTAACAACAACACAAGAACAACCATCTGCAGAACAAAGAATAACTAATTATCCAAAAGATCCAGGAAGTCATTTTGAAAATGCGCACTGACTAATATCCTACCCAGAAAACATGCACTCAAACAAACACTAATAGTAATCACTAGAATATTAGTACACAAAGATAAGAAAAGCAAATATTAAGAGTTGATGTTACTACTAAAAGAATACTAGAAACAATAAGGAACACATCACTGCCTACCGTAATAGAGGCGACCACCATCACATCCTTGGTGATTACTATACATGTAAACTCCTCCACGAGAATGTGTAGCACCTATAAATGCACGAAGCCGAATATCAAGTTTTCGCAATTGATGGTGACTTCCACTGGCATTCATAAATACTTCAACTCCATTCAATGCAAGCTCAGCATGAGGAGGCATGGGAGTAAAAAGCTCCTCACAAACTTCAGCTGCAACAGCTCTAAGGATCAAACAATTTATAGCATTACTCTGTGAACAACTTGTAGGAAAAGGTCAGCAGATTTGTATGACAAATAAATATCCAAGCTAAGCATTTTACCAAAGTAGTTTGGTCATGGTATTAAAGACAAAATTCAGAATGAGTTGCACTGATACAACATGCCACATGGGAGGCCGCACTATAAAATCAAGTTTATGAATAGCACGACAAAAGTGATCCAATGACTAAATATCAGATATGCAATTAAGGAAATTAAAGATGAGCTCCTGAAATGAAATTTGAACAGTGAATGCCCAAAAAGTGGGTGTTCATGGATTTTTGCTTGACTAATCTCTTTAAACATTCCTCCCCAGTGCTCTCATCAAGACAAAGCACTACCTAGTAAAATCATCTAGAAAAGTGCAGCAACAAGATTTCCCTGTATTAGTGCATGTTTAGTCAGAGCTAGGCCATATATGCATAGTCGTCTTCTTGTTCTTTTTTTTTTTCGATACAATAGGATGCATAGTCGTCTTCTTGTTCATTTACCTCGATTTGTCGATGCCAGTTATTGAGGCAAATGTCATAATCCAATTTACGCATGAGAAAATATTTTAGCAATGTTCTTTAACATACGTGTCAAGAAACTGAACATAACCATAGCCAAATGGTACTGTTGTCTGCGACAATGCATCAGAGACTGCAATAGGTAGTAAAAAGTCCTCGAGATAATCCTTTTGCTTCCATGCTGTAAACCACCTGAGTTCCCTATAATTGCCATCATTTGCTAGCCACATCTTAGGACGTATCATTACTATTTTTCTGTTCAAACATAAAATTTGACAGTTGTAACGCTCTGAGGCCTTCATAACAGGCATACCAAAGCCGCATAATATGCCATCTGTCCAATCACCACGCAAAAGCTCTGTTAAGCACTCCCACCTGCAAACGAACTTTAAAATTTCATGACCAAATTTTGCTCCTAACAAAAGATACAAAACAATAACAGTTACAAGCACTCATCCAATAGCTTCCTCCAGCTCAATTTCCTTCATTTTTCCAACAAGGAAAAGTAAACATTATAATGAAAATCTAATTACCCATTGCCTACTACTACCTAGAAGCACATTATCTATTTCTGAGACCATGCTTAAATAAACCTGCAAAATATTATTTTGAAGACAAAAAACTTTTTAGCAGGGAGGCATGAAAAAAGAAGGCTCAAGAAAATGAAGCGGAAATGGAGACAATGCGAATTGACCCAAGCAAACAAAGACCCATAACTGCTACCTAGCAAGTATATCTGATTCTCCTATAAACTTGCGATTACACTTCAAGAAGTACCGGTATTATAAACTAGAATCACCCTTCACACAATTGCACGTAAAACTGTAATATTGTTTTTTCTAGTAAAGTTGGATTCTTTTTGCCTAAAAGATTCAACAAAAAAAATAAAAGACAGACAGAGAGGAGCTTACGCATGATGGACAGTATCCATTTCCAAGAAATGGTCTTCACAACCATAGCCAGTGATTTCCAGCTCTGGTCCAAGCCTGATTACAGCTCCAGCTTCTTTAGCCCTAGAAATAGATTCCTTAATATTTTTCATATTGCAATCAAAATCCATAGCCCATTGATTCAGATTACACGTCACCACTTTTATCAATCTCATCTTTTTATTGTGTGCCTCACTTTTTGCCAATTCTCCTCTTTTTTGGCCTTATCAACTCAAATTCTTGTCCACACACCAAAAGATACTGCTAACTACTTGTTTCAATTGATGCCGGTGAATAATTCAATCCAACCATTCAATAATCTTCTGGGTTTCACCTTTTTTGAGGATCCATCCATGCAATAACTCCAAAGGCTGTAGATGACAACTCTGAAGGCTACAAATGGCCCCAAAAATGTGTTTAGAAAAAGAAAAAAAATTTAATCTTGAAATGGTTAAAAAAAAAAATAGTTTTTTCTTCTGGGCTGTATCAGAACAGATAGCTTCCAATGGGAGCCGCAAAACTATAAGATTAGAATTAGTTTTAGCATAGTTCAATATGTCAATAACACAAAAGTAACCAAATATGAGTCTAAAAATTTAGAATGAGAATATATAACTCCCATCCCAGGAATCATTAGCGTTATAGATACAACTCCTCTTCCCAATTGCTAAAGCAAAAAGGGTAGCAAGATCGTCTCAATTTAGGAACCTAAGCAATTCATGCATTAAGTTAAATGTCAATCAATTGAGAGTCAAATTCCCTAACAAAGGAGACTAATCAGTTAGAAGAATAAATCATTGTTCTAATCCAAATGATTAGTCACAGTTGTTGGTGGAATAACTGCACCTCAATCAACTACCATTAAATTCTGTAAAGAAAAGATAATTCTGAAAAAACATTTTCAATAGCAATAACCTTCCGAAGTGATCAGTCCAAAAAGTTGTACAATGAAACAGAATTTGCAATAAGAGCTTCAAGGTCAAATAACTTGCACGATTCAAAACAGCTGCTAACGGTGTACGGGTTTTAAATTAAAGAACTAATTAATCTCCATACCCATTAAAATTTTTTGGGGGAAAAAGAAAAAGAGTAGCAACACCCTGTTCTTAGAAAATTTTATTTATTAGAACCACACAGAGTAGAAAACGGAATTAAGACACTCAAAATTATTTTGCTAGAATGCAAAAGTAGCCGGACATCCAATCAATTCTACTCAGTACAACCATGGCATTGATATACATACCTGATTTCTCACATCCAAACTAAACTAAAGTGTAGCAACATAAAGTCGAATTATGCTTTGGGTTGAACTAAATAGCAGGAAGTGATGCTGAATTATACTAATGCCAAAAGCATGGCTGATTGTTCAATGATACTGCCGTAAAAAAAAAAACACAACAACAAACGGGAATCAACGGAAACTGAAACTCAGTTACATTCTTAACGAATACTTTTATATGTTCAATAACACCAATACAATAGCCTATATCGCGGATTGACAACAGGATGCTTTCCATAACCAAAAGAAAAGAAAAAAAAAAGACAAGCAAAACTTCATCAAAATCATGAAAGAGCATAAGAATGTAAAATCTATGAAAAATATCTAACAATAAAATAGGCAGTAGGAAAATGAATAAGAACCTTGAATTGTAGTGTAGTAGAAGATAACATTCACATCAGTAGTAGGAAGAGGTTTGGATAAAAAAGTAGACGAGGACCCTGTAGAAGAGAGTAGAGAGAGAGAGAGAGGAATATGGTTTGGCGGAGGAGAAGGAAGATGAAGGCGAGGTGGTGTGGCCGTGAGATTGGCGGTAATAAAAATTTCTGGCCATAAGTCTGGGCTTAGCTGAGAGTTGAGACCGGACGCTCGAGAGTGCGTGTTGGACGGACGGAAATCCTAACTTGTTGGACGGTCTCTCGCCTTTGCCACGCTACCATTTTGGGATAATTTCAGAAACCTCCCTGAGGTTTGTAATAATATCACTTAGTACTCCTAATTTGTTTATAATCTCACTTACCTCTTTTATTATTAATTGTCAACTGCTCGTCCAAAAATAAAAAATAAAAAATAAAAAAACTTTCAAAAGACCAAAAAAAAAGTTGAAAAATTAAAAAAAATCAGTCTTCACCAGGAAACGACGACGCATCCTAACATTGATTTGACGATGCACACAAGTAGTCCAGCCGCTTGCATTTGCAATTTGTCTGATTTGAGTAGGGAGGAGGGAGGAAGGGGGAGAGAAGAAGAAGATGACGGAAGTGGCGAGCTCAGTTGTACACGAAGTTTTGGGCAGAAGAGCTCACGACGTCGATCAACCAATCGTCGACTATGTAATAAACGTCCTCGCTGACGAAGACTTCGATTTCGGAGCCGATGGCGAAGGCGTTTTCGAAGCCCTCGGCGAACTCCTCGTCGACTCTGGCTGGGTTCCCGACTTCTCTGAATGCCGTTTGGTATTCTACTTCATACCTTTGATGTCAAAAGAATTTTGCTTAATTAGACTGAAAAATGCCTGCTTCTTTAGTATATTTTTCAGCTAGACTTTTAGTGATTATTAGGTTGATAATTATCCTGAAACTGAATATTCATTTCAGCTATTTTTGTTCATTTTAGAATGATAGTTTTTTGGAACATCGCACTATTTTTGTCAAAAATAGCTGAAATTCAGGTATTGAAGTGATAGTTAATAGCCACTCTCGTATTTTATCAATTTCACTCCTCAATTTGGTGTTGGGTAATTCTAATCTGGATAATACTACCAAACCAAAAAAAAAAAGCAGTGGAATGCTATTTATCTCGATAGTTTTTAAGCAGCTAAAAAGAAATTAAATGGTAAGCTTATAATCTTTTTGACAAACAAAAAACTGAAATGGGGGAGGGCTCTGCTAAATAGTCCTGTTGGTGTGAAAATGGCAATAATTTTTGGCAATTCAATCACAGGCTTGTAGCAAACTATCAGAGAAATTTGGGAAGCATGGGTTGGTCAAGGCAAAACCAACTGTGAGAAGTCTTACAGCACCATTAAGGATGTTTGATGGAATGGATGAAGAGGAAGCTCCAAAAAAGAAGCCTGAGCCTGTCGATGGTCCTTTGCTGACTGAACGTGACAAGATGAAGCTCGAAAGGAGAAAGAGGAAAGAAGAACGCCAGAGAGAGGTAATGTGTAACAACGGACCAGGGAGTGTATTTGTTTGATCAGAGGGTAAATTACCCTACTAGAATTTGTATTTGTAACACCTTGTTCACTTGAATTTGAAATTATAGCATGATTTTCAGTGTGTGCAGTGGTTGAACTAGTTTAACCTGAAAAGAAATTGATTTATACCTGTTTATGGAGATTGTCCAACTAGTTGGGCCTTAAGTTATGGCATTGTGTTTTCCACTAATCATGTAGATCATTTTGCTAGATGACCTTTACGAACACTTTCTCTCAGTTAGATCATAAACCTTGATAAACCAGGCGGAAACAGCAAAGATTTTCATTCTTCGTGTTCCTTCAGAGGGCCTTTATTGTTCCTACTGGTTGCTTTTCTGGTCTTTGTAGGCACAATACCAAATGCACTTAAAAGAAATGGAAGCAGTAAAAGAGGGAATGCCAGTTGTATGCGTCAATCATGACCAGGGTGATGGAGCAGCTGTCAAGGATATCCACATGGAGAACTTCACTGTATCTGTCGGTGGACGCGATCTAATTGTTGATGGTTCAGTAACACTTTCTTATGGAAGGCACTATGGTGAGTTGGATTCATCTTAACCTTGTCTAGTTTATTAATTTTTAGAATTACACTTGTGTCCTTTTATTAGTGCTGGACACAGTGTGAACGGAATCATGTCTTGATCATGGCTGCTATGCGCTCTTTCATAAGGGATATCTTTAACATGACTGAATGGTTAAATGGCAGTTGCAAGAAGCTAGGAAGTGTCTAAACGCCTGTTTCAGTTTTGTGTTATCTCAGTGATTCATCTGTATTGGATCAAGTTTAGCTGCAGAGTTTAGATAGTGATCATAATGACTCCAAAAGAATAGAATATATTAGGTTATAGGAATATTATGATTGCGAAAAAAAAAGTGAAGTTCTTTCTCTTATGTGATTGGTCACCGCAAAGTCAGATACTTTTGCATGAAAACAGGCCTTGTTGGAAGGAATGGTACAGGGAAGACTACTTTCCTGCGCTACATGGCTATGCATGCCATTGATGGCATTCCAAATAACTGTCAGATACTGCATGTGGAACAAGAAGTGGTTGGTGATGATACATCAGTTTTGCAATGTGTTCTGAACACTGATATTGAAAGAACCCAGCTTTTGGAGGAAGAAGCTCATCTCCTTGAATTACAGGTGGAACATTTGTGTTTGTTTTTTACTTTTTCCCTCTTTTTGGTTTGAAATGCATTAATTTGCTGCCAGTGTTAATTCTTTATCTGATCTTTTTGTTTGGTAGAGACAAGTCGACATAGAAGGTGAAGATGGTAAGACTGATGAGAAGTTAGATGCTGGAGTGGATAAACATGCCATTGCACAAAGGCTAGAAGAGATATACAAACGTCTTGAATTGATTGATGCTGATGCCGCAGAGTCGCGTGCAGCATCTATTCTTGCTGTTAGTTCTTGAACTTTTATGTTAATTTGAATGTAGAATCTGGTTGGGCCTCTTCATTATTAGTGAAATTTGTAACTTGGGCACATCTTTCATTCAGGGTCTCAGTTTTTCTTCAGAAATGCAAAAGAGAGCTACGAAAACATTTTCTGGAGGATGGAGGATGAGAATAGCTCTTGCACGTGCATTATTTATTGAGCCTGACATGTTGCTACTTGATGAACCCACTGTAGGTTTTTAGTAATTTTGCCATTCTGAAAGCATACAGATCTTGAACAGATTCTTACTTTATTCCTTTGTGGCAGAATCATCTTGACCTTCATGCTGTCCTGTGGCTGGAATCGTACTTGGTGAAATGGCCGAAGACATTTATTGTTGTTTCTCATGCTAGAGAGTTCTTGAATACTGTAAGCTTTCCTCCTTTGTACTGTTTCAATAGAATAATATTATTGTGCATGTGTATGGGTTGTTTTTCTTTGCCATATTTGTACTATCATATTTTTACCTTTCCTCGTTTCAGGTTGTCACAGATATTATCCATTTGCAAGGGCAACAACTAACTACATACAGAGGGGATTATGATACATTTGAAAGAACGCGAGAGGAACAGCTTAAGAATCAACAGAAAGCATTTGAGGCAAATGAACGTTCAAGGGCTCATATGCAGGTATATGTCTCCCCCTCCCTTCTTGTTGGTCTACTGTTGCAGTCACACATCATTTGGACAATAATGGATTTGCATTGTATATTGGCAGACCTTCATTGACAAATTCCGCTATAATGCGAAGCGTGCATCTCTTGTTCAGTCGAGGATCAAGGTACTTTTTGTCTTTTGTATAACTTCAATGTTTTTCGATGGATGCTGAAAATTTCATTTTTTATGATGTGTTCTTTCTTTTTCTTTTTATATTTTGGTTTTTCTCCATTTGTTGTCTTTGTCCTTCTTGTTTGGGGGAACTGTCAAAACCTGTTTGATTTTGAGGATTTTCATAAGATAAAAATATTTTCTCTATCTTTAGCTGCACCTTGCTTGGTAAAGTATAACAAATTTGATATTTCTACCTCTACCTCAAAATTTTGGTTCTCCGTTTTTGGCTGCATTATTTTCAAGTATCCCATATTTCCACCTCTTACCTAAAAAGTTGCCCCTTCCCAAAAAGGTGAAAATTTGATTTTCTTGAGGTTGAGAGGAGTTTATTTCTGTCTTACACTTCAAGCTTATTTGATTTCACGTTTCTGGTTGAGAATTGATCTCCAACCTTCTATCTTGTTCTTGAATTTACCAGGCACTAGAAAGGATGGCACATGTAGATGAAGTCATCAATGACCCTGAGTATGTTTTCATTCATTTATTCTCTTTATATTTTAACCTGGACACTCAGCTTAAGTTTCTTTGACTGCTGAGCTAATTATCTTTTTTTAAAAAAATGCAGCTACAAGTTTGAGTTCCCTTCTCCTGATGATAGACCTGGCCCACCGATTATAAGTTTCAGGTTGGCATCCAACATTCTCAAAAATTTTTTAGGTGTCGTCTAGTATCTTTTCTTACATATGTGGATTGACAATTTGTCATGGTTGCAGTGATGCATCATTTGGATATCCTGGTGGCTCATTACTGTTCAAGAATTTGAATTTTGGAATAGATCTGGATAGCCGCATAGCTAGTAAGACCTTTCTGAATAATGATAATTTCCAACTTCATATTATGTTTTGAAAGTTATCATCTTCCATCTTCTCCTATGCGTTATCAGATCCTGTTATATTTATTCTGAAGTGCAGTAACATGAATTGAGTTTGTGTTGAAGGAAGTTTAGTACCTATGTAATTGTAATGCAACAACATAGAATCTACATTTTCTTTATGTGCCCCCCCCAACAAAACCAAAAAAAAGGGGAAAATCCCCCTTCTCTCTCTGTCTCCTGGTAGGGGTCTGTGGGTGTGGAATTACTTTAGATTTTTGAAGAAGATCAGCCTTTGTATGCTCTATGCACTATTTTGCATTTTTCAGTTGGTTTCTAATCTGGGTGTACTAATTTATCTGACAGTGGTCGGTCCAAATGGCATTGGAAAATCGACCATACTTAAATTGATTGCGGGTGAGCTTCAACCTACCTCGGGGACTGTTTTCCGTTCAGCCAAGGTATCTGTTATTGTTTTGTGTATTATGTTGTGCAGGTCATTCACCTTTATATTTTTTCTCCTGCTTAAATCTTACACCAGTCAATCCAGTGGGATATAGAGATTTTGAATACTAAGGTCCTGTTTTCTCAGGCTTTCATGGTCATTACTTTTTCAGTTTAACATATCCTTCCCTGCTTCAGCTACTGCATGTAGCCTATTAAAAATTGCTAAGTGATCTTTATTGTTTTACTTGGCACATGCTAATTCATCCATTTACTTCCATATTTGGTGGAATTATGTTGCCTAGCATCTTCATTTGGGACATGAAAATATCTCTCTTCAAGATATTTTAATATGTGAATCTACTATGTGATATGTGGATCTATTTTGGTATTTTTGGTCTCTTCTATTGTGAATTGATATGATGGGTATGATAATTTTACTCTATACCCTGTAGGTTCGGATTGCCGTCTTCAGTCAGCATCACGTTGATGGTCTAGACCTTTCATCAAATCCTCTTCTCTACATGATGCGCTGCTTCCCTGTAAGTTTTACTATGTTTTAGGTATTATATTCCTTTGCCTTGTGAATGGTATCCATGGGACCCTTAGTTATATAGAAAGATGTTAAATAATGTGCACAGGTAGGATGTCTGACATGGTCTTTTTGTGTATCTCAGGGCGTGCCAGAACAGAAGCTGCGAGCACACTTGGGTTCTTTTGGTATAACTGGAAATCTTGCTCTTCAGCCAATGTATACTTTGTCCGGTATGCTTCTCTTCTCAGTTTAAAAAGAGTTGAAAAAAGGCGTATATCAATTTTCATTCTGGTTGTTAAACCATCAGATACATTCTTGAGTATTGCATCAACAAAGCATTTTTTAGCAGTTGTCCAGAGACATTATGACTTGGAGGTCTCTCTAGAAATCCATTTAATTGCATGAATCATGTGAACTCAGGTGGTCAGAAAAGCAGAGTTGCGTTTTCCAAGATTACTTTCAAAAAACCTCATATCTTACTACTAGATGAGCCGTCTAACCATCTTGTAAGTTATTTATTGCATTTTAAATCTATATTCTGTATCAGTAACTTGTAAATCTTTTGATGCATCTGTCATTTCAAATTGTATGGTTGTATGGTCATGTGGTTCACCATTCTTTTAGTTTACTAATCAAATAGGAGTAATTGAAAACAAGTTGTTACATGCAATCAGTGCAGAATGTATTGATTTGGGATTTCAACCTAGAATTACAGGTGATTTTTATGATTTGTAAACAATTTGGCAATTTATATTTGGCCCTTGCTTCCCTAGCAGTGCCTTCTTTCCATCAGGCACTGGGTGGTTAGGGAAGCTGGAGAAAATATTTTCAGTACCCTTGGGGATATTAATTATCAACATACATCTAAACAAGTTGGCCCATAGATGACCCAGTTGTTGACTTAGTTGTATGCATATGATTGGTATTTGGGCTGTGACATTGTGAAGGGGTATTAATGTTTTACATGGCAATTAAGAGACATGGATTGTGTCTTATGAAACAATGGGAGATTTGCTAAGTGCGCTGGCTCATTGGGTTGGAAATCATAAGTTCTCTACTTTCTTGGTGTTCTTGGTATATACTGAATGAAGTATGTGAAATGTCTATGCTTTTGCTGCTTTGTCCTTGCAATCAAAGATTTACCTGTGATACAATTTTTTAAGAACCACATCACTTTTCTGGACTTGAGATTTAGGATGCTTGAGCATCTACTTTTGATATTCTGTTCAGTTCTGATACTTTCTAAGTTTGATTTGTACTCTTTGTTTGGCGCTGCTTTAGTGAAATATGTGGTACTTAAGTGACTACAGATAAATTACATACTGTAAATGATAGTTTAATTTTTTCCTGCTTTAATCAAAGATTTACCTGATATTAGATCCTTTCCAAGTCTATCTTAAGCATCACTTTTACTACCGTAAAACTCACTGGTCATTCTTTCGTCATTATACGCTTTTTAACAGATGCGTTGCTGCAACTTATTCACATGGGTCCAATTTCATGTATATTTTCCGCTGGTTAATGATTTCAGTGATTAATGAATGCCCGATTTTGATTTTGCATCAAGTCCAAGTCATATCCTTGCATGGACATGTTTTAGAGCTGGTGTAATATCTGTACGAAAACCATTGCTTCAAGGCAAGTGAAAGAATATAGTTTTGTAAAGCTTCCTCATATACAGATAGAATGTGTGTTTGAGAAGTAACCCAAAAGTTGCAGCAGGAATAATGGCTGGTCTCATTGGGCCAGCCAGGTTTCCTTAGATATGAAATGATAGACGTTTTTTTGTATTAATCCAAAATTCAACAAGTATTTCACTGATGCGACGAGATGGAGTACTGTTCATTACCTCAGATTTTGGTGCCTCTACCCTACGCTGTTGTTGTAAATCAAGACCTGCCTCATGTCTGTACGATTGTTCAAACTTCAGAGCTTTCAGTCGCAAGTTCCAACTCAGTTCTCTTCTCTCGGATGTAATGTTATTCTTGAATACAAGTCCTTCTCTATTGTGAAATTTGCATTGTTAGTCATGATCAGAAATGGCTATTCTTCTCTTACTCTTTTCTTTTTCTGTTTTTTTTTTTATCAGACATGATAATAATAATGCCTTGTAACTTCCCCTGATTTTACTTGCTCTTTGGTGATTCAATAGCTAGGAGATTAAAGACAATAGGTTTACAATATTTGAACGCTATACTATCATTGTATTACTATTGGGCGTTCAGCAAATCCTGTTTAGTTTCAAGTTTCAATTAGTTTTGCAATTTCTTTTCTTGGTCTTTCATCACTTTTTCTCATCTCATTTCCTCCTCGAACATGCTCTTTTGATTTATTTATAGTTGAGATTTGCCTTTCTAGAGCTCTTTTTTTGGCTTTTTAACCCCAAAAAGGGAAAAAAAAACAATGGCAATTAGTCTAGCCCAGTAGCACTGAAGCTCTACTCTTTTTTTTTTTTTTTTCCAGTTGATACGCGGGACATCGTTTTGCATCCATCTGCAAAACTTTATGTCCTACTTCCCGATTGATGCCATTGTATAAGAAAGCAGTACTAGTAGAGTGTCTCTGCTTCTTCGGGTCATATATGCTGGGACAAAAAGCAAATAAGGATGGAGCTAAAAAACTGCTCAAAAAAAGATGGAGTGGAGTGAAATGTTTTCGCTCTTTCTAATACTAATATATATATTACGGCACTTGGTAAGTTTTCAATCTGCTGATTATGCTAGTGTGGATTCCAATGAAGCCCAGATACAGCAGTGCAGGAAACAAAAGCAGGGAATTGAAGATGGAAGAGTAAAAAGAGGAGGAGGAGGAGGAGGAGATGACATGGAAAAATAAATGAATTGGGGGAAGTGAGGGAAGGAAAGGGGTGGTCAGGGATCAGTCGTCACTCGACAAATAGCCTGACAGCCTGGCTTTTGCTTTGGTTGTATGGGATGGCATGGGTGAAGCAGGCCAGACCCTCTCTCTCTTTCTCTCATTGAGTCATCAATTCCTGAACCTGAGGCATCATATGATAGCATTAATGAATGCCTTCAATGATCTGAGCCCTTTTCTCTTTCTTGACTTCTCTCTCTAGACATCACAGTAGAGTCAATATCAGCATAGTGTCGCATTCCAGGCCATGGATTCTTGGATTTTCTACTCTCTTTTGTTTTACCCTTGGCTCTGGTTTGCTGGAAAGTGGAAAGTTACATATATAACTCTATTTTTTTTTTCTTTTCTTTTTTCACAAAAATCTACTGCTACTTGGGACTAGGGAGGGAGTAGGGACTAAGTACAGTAGAGAGTTGTCAGGTTGAGTTGTGCAGGACCCCCACTCCCCCTCCGGCCCTCCCCGTCTTCGTCCCACATTTCCTTTTCCAACAGCAACTCCCCTGATTAGTGGGATTTTTCAGTATTCCCAGCTATTTTAACTCTAGTCAATGTTTTAATAATCAATAATATAAATTTAAAAAAAAAAAAAACAAATTGAAGTCTAAATGTGCTTTGTGCTGCTATCATCAGTAAGTATTACTACTATCAAGAAGATTGCCTATAGCTAGCCCGATCATCATTTGAATGTACACATATTCTCGAACTTTATACCAATAGACAATAAAGAGCCGTGTGTGTATACTCCCTATATTTGGTAACATTAATTCCCGGCTAAGAAGATTAATCAAGTCCATTTTTCCTTGCTTGCTTCTAAACTGGAAAGCAGAAAATAAATAAGAGTTCCGCTCCTCGGCAGCAAGGGTAAGCAGACAAAAAATAAGAGAGAGGTGGTGAAAAAGAAAAACCATATGACAAAGTACAATAATATTAATAGAAAAACTGGAGGTTGGCTTCCCCAGTTCTTGACATGCAATACATTTTTTTTTATCTGGCAATCAATCATTTAAAAAGTTGTCAGCCAATTAAGTTAAGATTAATTCTCAGCAAAACCAATGGTTAGCAAATTGCGGGTGGTCGTTATCGGAGTTTGGGAGCAAAGTCAAAATGTCAGGTTACTTTCTCCGATTTCAGCCCCGTTTTAGAGTGCCATTTTGATGGAAAGTGTTTTCCTCGAAACGCCACTCACTCGGTGGCTGAAAAACATAGTATTTGATATTGCTCCCAAGTCCTACGTCCTGACCTATTCATTCAAACTTTAATTTTCAAAACGAACAATCAGCAACTCTTTAACATATGCTACGAGTACTACTACTACCATAATAAATGTTGTGAGTCTTGGAAGACCGACTTACTTGACTTCCTCCCTCCCCTCCCCTCCCCAGAAAAAGAAGAAAGGAAAAATAGGCTTCTTCCCCTGTGGCCTGTGGATTTGTATGTACATGGAGACCTCTCACCTCAGCAATTCTAGGACGCATAGCTCGGTTTGGTCGTCCACACAGCCTGCCTGCACCAACAAAATTTGTGCTATACTCTAATCTGACAGCTACCACCCCTTCTTCTTCTTCTTTTTGAATGTAATGTAATGTACTGTAATATGACACTCTTTTTAACTGTTGTATGGTACTAGTACTACATTTCGAACTTATTTGTTTTTTGGCACCTCATCGATCTCGTCTCTTATTTACAAATCCTATATAGCTAGAAAGCAGTCGTTTTTTCATTATTGTTTGGGTAAAAAGGGCGGCGAAGGGCATGGAAATCGAATTGTACAGAAATAAAAATGGACTCTAACGGCCCAAGTTGAGGTATGCAGCCGAAAAAAATGGTTTTTGGCACGATTGGAAAGCCCAATTAGTTATTCAGTCTAATTAGGCCCGGGAAAACCTGGGTCATTTAAGGTGTGAGCGCTTATGATGGGTGATGGACTGAATAGGCCGAGCCCGGTTGACCGTTGCTCGGTCAGTTAATGAACCTCGGCCTGCTAATCTCTTGGCCCTTTTCTTTCTTTTCTTTTTCGTAGAAAAATTGTTGCCTATTTCAATAATGGGGAAAAGGATTATATAAAAAAAAAAAAAAAAAGAGTAAACAAGTTAGACACCATTTCTTTTTCCTTTTTTTTTGGTTTTTGGGGGTGTGTTTTCTAAGACCATGAGTTTAGAGATTGGTGGAATTTGAAGTTGGATAAAATAAATGTGGGGATGGGATGGTGGTTAGTAGAGAAAATCCGCAGCTAAATCCACAACCACCACCACCTTGGGTTAGCCTTCTTTCATTAGCCATAGCTAACTGTTGATCAGGACCTGACCTTCATGTCTAAGGTGTGTTGTTGCATCATAAACTGGAGCTGAGACGATGGCCGTCCGATGAGACGTTTTCTACGATTGAAAAAGTTAGTGGGTGGGCGTTCATGTCAATCATCAGTTAACTGGGGACCGTTTGAAAGGGGAAACAAATGTAGGGATTGTACTTTTGCACTCCCAAGACAATTGTTTTCGTTTTATGAGTGCTGTCGCCAGTTTGCCATTTTCTGGTTAAGAAAGACTGGCGATAAAACAGAATATGCATATACATCTTAGTCACTTGAAATTTTAGGTTGAGAGCGAAATAATTAGCACTACCTTTAGTAGATAGAGTTGTAAAGAAAGATGATCCTCTCATATCTGATGGACTGGATAGTGATCCTCTCATTACCATGAATCGTGGTTGATTTTCTACTGGTTCCTAAGGAAAGAACTCGCAATCAAGAAGCGCGCGTGAAAGGCATGCCTGAGATTAACTGTAGGGATTCTGGATGGTGATCAACGTAACAAGAAATAATTTTGTATTCTTTTTTTTCCAAGAAAGGAAGAGGGGGCCCTGTGTGTGTGTGTGTGTGGATGGGTGGTGGTGGGATTTCATTGGGGCGTAATTGGCGATAATTTGAGGAAACAGTTAGCCGCCATAATTCCCATGTGGACGACGTTGACCACCCTCCACGCCCCCTCGCCCCAACCTTTCCTTTCTGTGATCAGTAATAATATATCCTTCTTCCATCATTCATCTACATTCATGGAACCTAACAACACACAGTTACTTGTACCAACGGCGCTTCCATGTCCTATAACTGAAAGTGATCGCAACCCTCGGCCGCTCACTCTCGCTTTGGGACCGCGCCCCCATCTCGATCTACGCAGCTGCACCTGCAATCTTAGCTGCTAAACAACACCATGATCTTTGGTCATCAAATATCACAACAACAAAATTTATTTAACTACTATTCGCTAAATTGTTTTAATACCAAACACAATCTAACAAAATCCGTAGGAAAAGTCGACATATCTCAAACACAGCACAACACGTGCCTTGCATGTTGTAATTGTAACAGGGGCTATACAGGATAGGTGCGGGACAATGGACACTGATCACCACGGTTACACAACCTACGGCTATGGACCATCCCTGCGGCCATGGGTCCGTTTCAGAAGTACAGACAGCCATTTCCGAATAATACATAGTACCTACCATACACAGTATATGTCTTTTGCTTTACAAATCAGTTGTAGTATTAGTTTAGATAGATATGGATTGTGTAACCAAACATAGACCAAACAAGCAATCCAAGTATGTGTAGCTTGTTTTTCAAAATAATAACAGACCGTATATGTCGGGAGACAATAATAATATATATTAGTTTGGGAGGGACATCAAGGGGATGCCTGCAGCCTCAAGCAATTCTAAACGCGGCATCCAAGTTTCAATCCTTTTTTTTTTTTTTTTTTTCATGGCCTCCATTTACATCTACTTTTACTCTAATCTATATTAGGAGGTGACACAATAGGATCATACGTATATCGATGAAAATTGAATCACCCTCGAACCATACACGCGCCCCCAGCAATATTGTTGTTTGTTTAGGATGACCAAACTGACGTGGATGCCTAGTCAGCACTGGCTCACAAAATCGTCAATGTCCGGAACAGAAACTTCCCTGTTTTTGTTGTCAGCATGAGAGGGATGGAAATGAGTGAAACCCAACAAAATCTTCCCTTTTTTTATTTGCTGTTTGAAATATACTACCAATAACGGCCACAGAGTCAACATTGTCTTCATTCACCACACACACACACACGCAAAGACCAATTAACTGATTATAAGATTCCTCCATTTTCTCATCCGTAAATTTCTAAAAAAACAGATTCTGCTCTCTTCAATGTTTTGAAAAATAAAACTAAACTGTTCTAGAGTCATGTCAAAAGTTACTTTACTTTCCAAATCAAAACCAAATAAGTAAGAGTACGTATGGTTATGCTGAGCCAACTTGTAATCATATATAAACTCCTTAATCATACTCAACACCAAATAAGTACTATATGATTTTGCTTGCCCAACCATTGTGGGTTTAAGTCGAGGGAGAATCAAAGCTCAGGAAAGGATGGCAATGGAGCGGGTCACAAACTTGCTCCGTCGCCATGTAACTCATCTCGTCCCGTGAGTACTGCACCTTTTTTTTCTTTTCCTTTTCTTCTCTCTTAGCACCTTTATTATTAGAAAAGACTAATTAATATTACCACTACTATTATTACTAGTAGTACCTGGTAGGGGTCTGTGGGTGTGGAATTACTTTAGATTTTTGAACAAGATCAGCCTTTGTATGCTCTATGCACTATTTTGCATTTTTCAGTTGGTTTCTAATCTGGGTGTACTAATTTATCTGACAGTGGTCGGTCCAAATGGCATTGGAAAATCGACCATACTTAAATTGATTGCGGGTGAGCTTCAACCTACCTCGGGGACTGTTTTCCGTTCAGCTAAGGTATCTGTTATTGTTTTGTGTATTATGTTGTGCAGGTCATTCACCTTTATATTTTTTCTCCTGCTTAAATCTTACACCAGTCAATCCAGTGGGATATAGAGATTTTGAATACTAAGGTCCTGTTTTCTCAGGCTTTCATGGTTATTGCTTTTTCAGTTTAACATATCCTTCCCTGCTTCAGCTACTGCATGTAGCCTATTAAAAATTGCTAAGTGGTCTTTATTGTTTTACTTGGCACATGCTAATTCATCCATTTACTTCCATATTTGGTGGAATTATGTTGCCTAGCATCTTCATTTGGGACATGAAAATATCTCTCTTCAAGATATTTTAATATGTGAATCTAATATGTGATATGTGGATCTATTTTGGTATTTTTGGTCTCTTCTATTGTGAATTGATATGATGGGTATGATAATTTTACTCTATACCCTGTAGGTTCGGATTGCCGTCTTCAGTCAGCATCACGTTGATGGTCTAGACCTTTCATCAAATCCTCTTCTCTACATGATGCGCTGCTTCCCTGTAAGTTTTACTATGTTTTAGGTATTATATTCCTTTGCCTTGTGAATGGTATCCATGGGACCCTTAGTTATATAGAAAGATGTTAAATAATGTGCACAGGTAGGATGTCTGACATGGTCTTTTTGTGTATCTCAGGGCGTGCCAGAACAGAAGCTGCGAGCACACTTGGGTTCTTTTGGTATAACTGGAAATCTTGCTCTTCAGCCAATGTATACTTTGTCCGGTATGCTTCTCTTCTCAGTTTAAAAAGAGTTGAAAAAAATGGAAAAAAAAGGCTAGGCGTATATCAATTTTCATTCTGGTCATTAAACCATCAGATACATTCTTGAGTATTGCATCAACAAAGCATTTTTTAGCAGTTGTCCAGAGACATTATGACTTGGAGGTCTCTCTAGAAATCCATTTAATTGCATGAATCATGTGAACTCAGGTGGTCAGAAAAGCAGAGTTGCGTTTTCCAAGATTACTTTCAAAAAACCTCATATCTTACTACTAGATGAGCCGTCTAACCATCTTGTAAGTTATTTATTGCATTTTAAATCTATATTCTGTATCAGTAACTTGTAAATCTTTTGATGCATCTTTCATTTCAAATTGTATGGTTGTATGGTCATATGGTTCACCATTCTTTTAGTTTACTAATCAAATAGGAGTAATTGAAAACAAGTTGTTACATGCAATCAGTGCAGAATGTATTGATTTGGGATTTCAACCTAGAATTACAGGTGATTTTTATGATTTGTAAACAAATTTGGCAATTTATATTTGGCCCTTGCTTCCCTAGCAGTGCCTTCTTTCCATCAGGCACTGGGTGGTTAGGGAAGCTGGAGAAAATATTTTCAGTACCCTTGGGGATATTAATTATCAACATACATCTAAACAAGTTGGCCCATAGATGACCCAGTTGTTGACTTAGTTGTATGCATATGATTGGTATTTGGGCTGTGACATTGTGAAGGGGTATTAATGTTTTACATGGCAATTAAGAGACATGGATTGTGTCTTATGAAACAATGGGAGATTTGCTAAGTGCGCTGGCTCATTGGGTTGGAAATCATAAGTTCTCTACTTTCTTGGTGTTCTTGGTATATACTGAATGAAGTATGTGAAATGTCTATGCTTTTGCTGCTTTGTCCTTGCAATCAAAGATTTACCTGTGATACAATTTTTTAAGAACCACATCACTTTTCTGGACTTGAGATTTAGGATGCTTGAGCATCTACTTTTGATATTCTGTTCAGTTCTGATACTTTCTAAGTTTGATTTGTACTCTTTGTTTGGCGCTGCTTTAGTGAAATATGTGGTACTTAAGTGACTACAGATAAATTACATACTGTAAATGATAGTTTAATTTTTTCCTGCTTTAATCAAAGATTTACCAGTTATACAATCTTGTTCAAGGACCATATCACTTCTCTGGAATTGAGATTTGTGATGCTTGAAAATCCAGTTTGTCATACTTCTACCGGTTCTGATTACTTTCAAAGTTTTGAGTTGTAATCTTTGTTTGGTGCTTCTTTAAATAAATACATGGTACCTAAGTTCTACAAAGTACAGCCACGCTGTAGATGGTTAATTCTTTTTCCTGGTATTTTCAACTATGTCCCTGTCATTATTCTTTCTTTCAATGTCTTATTCTTCTATAAAAAGGGGGTTTTTGACTAGTTTATACCTTTCTTCTGGAACTTAAAATTTTTTGTTCATTTGTTCTGATAATTTAGGATCTGGATGCTGTTGAAGCTTTAATTCAAGGCCTTGTTCTATTCCAAGGTGGCGTTCTGATGGTACGTGGAACTCCACATGAATACTTGTGTTTGACAGTAGGAAATAATTAAAAGCACAAATATTTCTGTAATTTAAAATTTGCTGGTTGCTATTACTGCTTTAGGTGAGCCATGATGAGCACCTAATTTCTGGAAGCGTCGAGCAGCTTTGGGTTGTATCTGAAGGCAGGGTCTCACCTTTCGGCGGGACATTCCAGGATTACAAGAAAATTCTACAATCATCATAGTTAGGTTGTGGCTAGAAAGTTTTTGACAGAGTGAAAGTGATGTGATCCGTTTGCTGAATGTAGAACCTCTGGACAACACACACAGGAAGGGAGAGAGAGTCGTTATTATATCTGTCAACACACTCAAGGGCTACTAAAAGGAGTAAGATCTATTTAAACGAGGAAGTGATCTCGTGAATTTGCCACAGCTCCTCTCATCAATTTTGGGAAAATCATGGCACAGAATTATTAAGTGCCTTCATTTATTGATTACATAATACCTCAGTAACCGATGCTTTATGCTGAAAGCATGATATTACATTGTTGGTCATGTGACACAGATTTGTGTTCTTTAAAGCTTTCTTTATGCTCTTGTTGATCGCACTGCTGCTCCATATAATGAATGATGCATTAGTGTTTTCGTCATGAGATTTGACAGGTTGTCAACCGAGGCAATATTTAGCCTACATTGACATCCTTCTTTGCAACCACTGAGCTGGCTCAATGGCCACCTTTGGGCTGTAGGTGGGGGGTTCAAATTCCATCTGCAGCAAAAAAAAATTCAAGGGTGGTGTCAAAGCAATTTTTTGGTCTAGTAAGGTCTGTGTACTTGCTAGTCCTTAACACAAGTTTTTTTAGGTTTCCCCTTCTTTGTAGTTTGGGAAAGAATATGTTATACAATTATTATCGTCTCCGGAAAAAAAAAAAAGAAAAAAAGACGTCCTTCTTTGCATTGCTTGCAACTTCCGGTCTTCAGAACAGCAGTTGAGATATTGAAAACGTTTTTACTGTGAAATACGTTGACAACAAATTTTCTTGTTGCTCTTGAGATTCTAGAAGTTTCAATCTTGGAAAGAGCCAGGTGCTATTTCGTATGGACATCGTGAAAAGGTTTTGAAGTGTTTAAAAACATGAAAGACAAACGGAAAGGGGAAACTATCCAAAGATGACAAGCAAGAGCTATTCTAATCTTCAAAGTTTGCGCCAAAGCAAATTTGTTCCCTAATATTTCCAGCTTGAAGCACATATAGGAGGATCAATGGGTGATTTTTTGTTTTCAATTTTCACTGGGATGGAGTTGTGTGACCTTTGTCAGAAATTTTGGTCTTACATTTTCTTTTAAAGGAAGGGAGAGAGAGAGAGAGAATAGAGGTCAAGACTGAAATTAAATTTAGGATGTTAGATGAATATCTTTGTATGTTTAATAATTTTTGTTTCTTTTTTTTTTAAGTTACACAAGTGTAGTTGTGTGAGTAATTAATCCTTAGTATTATTATTATTTTTTTAAATTTTAGGTAAGTGTTACAATACTACACGCATAAGAAATGAAAAAAAATTAGTCAATTTCAAATTGAAACATTAGGAGCCATGTTTGTTTTGGGACCAAAAATCAACCAAAATTGCATTTTCCCTGCATCTTGTATCCTTAAAGAAAGGCAATGCGCATCCGGGGAATCGAACCCCGGTCAGTACCGTGGGAGGGTACTATGATACCACTACACCAGATGCGCGACGTTGGTAACTTGAACCTCCAAATCTTGCTTGAACAAGTAAATGAAATAATCAGTAAAGCAACCTATTATTGGCGAGTACGAGGCCGGTGGGCAGTTCATAGTAAAGCGATGGGCGGTGGCGGTGCGAGAGTTTATGCTTTATTGTAGAAGAGACTGGAGCTGACCTGATGTGTATCTGAAAGTTGGTTATTAATTTCTCATGGTAGATGCTATGTGATGAAGTTTATCAATGATTTTTTCTTTTGGCAGATGATATGATATTTTATGAAGCTTATCAATGATTTTAGTAGTATTACTTCTTTTGGGTTTTTAGTCTTCTCTTTAAGTTGCATCTGATGTTTGGAATCGCAAATTTTATATACCCTCACAAATCCAGCACGCTTAGTGCTTGTGGTCACATAGATAATTGTTGATTAACTTGAAGAAGTTTCTGCAATCCGTTTCCCGTTTCTGCTTATTAGATTGGTCTGTTTCTCTTACAAGCATCCGCTTGTGGGTTTTTTTGATGCCCTGCTATCTGTAACATTTGTACCTTTTTGTTCTTGTGGGTTTTCACATATGAGAATTAACCACCCCTGTCTCATATATTGCTTTGACTCATTTGTTACTCCATGTGTTTTTGATGAACTTTGGATAGCAGTTTGAAATGATTGGTTATCAGCTATATTATCAGCCTTTTTTTTTTTTAAAAAAAAGGAAAAAGAAATGCAAGCTTTACTGCATACCCTTTCATCTTGAAAGGTAAATGTTATTTAATCAATGTAATTGCAATTGCAGGAGGAAAAATTCTGACCTTTAACTTGAGCTAAGAGGACTTGATGCTGTTTGTGTTGTTGTCCTGTATTGCATCATAGCCCATTTTGAAATGGGAATCCTTTGCTAAGCCACATTGAATTTTTGGTGCAATGGAGATGTGTTTTCTTGTATTGATGCATCCTGCAAATGTTTTCATTTAAATCACCTGCAGAATTTACTTGAGCACCATTTGCATTCATATTACAATTTATGCTACAATTCGGTTTCATATATTTCCATCCTTATAGTGATAACTCATACGGAAATACATTACAATTAAAATTAAAAGTAATTTGTTGACACAATGAATTGCTTCTTCTGCACATTTTCTCTGTCCTGAACTGTTCTCTGGAAAAAATTGTGGTGAGTGCATAAGAACTCCTCTCCTGTTGAGCTTTGGACAGCATACTCCTATGTTTTTCAATAGCAATAGTTTCTGGTGATCTAAGAGGAGCACTAGGGGCATGGTTGCGTATTAGAAAATAGTATCAAATTTCCTTACCTATGCGTTACATCCAGCAAAGTAGAAGGGTAGGCACATCAGTGGACTATGTACAGCCTTGCTCTATGCTCTTTTAAACTCTTGCATCTTCTATGCCAGTTTCCAGCCTGCCTATTCCTAGAAGCACCATAGCCTTCAATGGATATGAATTCCAGCTTTCTTTCTTCCTTCACAGTGATGTCCAGTGCATTGTTCTTGAGGAAATTAAAGTTCTCTGCTGTTATAATTTATAAACTTCTCTAGCAGTAACTGAAAACTGTTTCAGTTTCTTTGACTTCTTTCCTCACATTATGGGAATCTTGAAGATTACTTCCCGCTGGACTTTTGGCTGTGAACCAGGGGTCTTGTTTCTTGCTTATTGCTGATTTTATATTGGGATTTCCTGATATCCTGGTTCACTCCTCCTGATTCCACGTGTTGACCAGTTTGGTTACCAATGTTCTAGGTTAAGGTATACCATGCAGCTCTTGCCTTTTAAATCACAAAACTTTTTATTCAAGAGTTCAAACCTGACTTCAGGAGGATTAGTCCTATTCTACATCAATCAAGATATTGTCAACCAAGCTGTGTGTCTATAGAATTAGGTTGCTTTTCTTGCTATCAAGGTACAGATTTCTATTTAAAGACTTTCTTCCCATGTTACTCTTACTTTGCCCGTGGTCTCACTCTTCCCTGATGTAGCTATTAACAACCTTCGCAATATTTCGTAATACCAGTAACATGCTAGCAATATATTTCCCTTATATATTTGTGTATTCATTCAACATAGCTCAATTCAAGTTTCAGTCAGATGGGGAATCCAGGAAGGAGAGATAGCCATGGAATGAAGTATCTTTGTTGTCTCTTTGCCTTCCAACTTTTATTAATTTACTTGTACTTTTTTTTTTTTTGCAAGTTCTATTTCAACTTTTATTTGTCTGTCTTTTGCTTTTCCCCATTTATCTTTTTGCTTTTCCAGGGTGCTCACTGTTTTTGAGTCGGTGTGTGGAGCATATAGAGTTGTTGGCTACATTTAACTTTTTTTGGCTTGAAGCTCCAGTGATGAAGTTAGTCAGCTATAGTTGTCGTTCCAATTGCTGAAGCTCTGTCATATTTCTAGAGCTACATGTAGAACAGAAGGGACAGCTGAGGAGCTGGCTTAACATTTTTCCTTTGGTCGCTACTTGCATTGCTTTGAGTATTGGAGTCAGTCGAAAGTTGTGAATTTTACTATTTCTGATAGCATGCTGCAAAAATCTCTCTCTCTCTAGTTTCTTTTAGTTTTCTGTCCGCCATCGTTTTGCTGTTTGTTTTTTTTTTCCTCGTGTTGTTTACTTTGGCTAATGGAGGATCATAGGTGGGGCAAATTATGGAAAGGATGGAGGGCATCTAATATGGCCTTATGCTCCTCATGTCCTTGCTTAATCGAAAACTGTAATGTGAATAGCAAGCACTAATCGCAGTATAATCAAGACTTTCTTCTGCTACGATGGACTACTGAACTTGTGGAACGAGGGAGATCTGCTGGGCTGTAACTTCTCAATAAGACGGAGGAACGCATTTATGAATTGTGTTAGTCACATATTGCCATTGTCTTTGTGGATAAATTGTCAACTTCTTGCTTTATTTTGTCCAAATTGTATCAATTTGGAGTAGCCAAGAGAGTGGCTTTGGTTTTGGTTTTACTGTTCTGGTGTTCAGATGCTAAAAAATACTAGTAAAGGAAATAAAGTATGATGTGATAGTTTGTTCTCCTAGGTGTCCAAATGCTGGTTGCTGGATGATGGAGAAGGAATCAAATGGATGAGGACGAGCTATAATTAAGTTTACAACATTAAGTAGTGTTTCTTTTTCTTTGTAGGTTGAAATGCTTACCGCTGTCTAAATAACCCGTGATTTCTCGAGTAACCAACCCTTGAATTGGGATGGTTGGATCAGTCAAAAGATAATTTAAGAGCGATTCTATCTCTTTCGGCTCTTTCATCACTTGTTCTGTTGATAAAACAAGTCAATATCTTAATCGTTGCTTGAATGTTTCTACAGCTTGAACGCCAGCACATGTTTTAGCAGAGAGCCAATGAGTAGAAAAGCAATTGAGTGCATGCGCTGCAAAGAGCCAAGCTGGATTTGCACTTTCTAAGTTGAAACTACTACTCAAGTCAAGCAAACAAGAATTTGTCAGTGAACGTGGATGAAAATCAGTGAATCAGGGCCATCATGCTATGCAACCAAAATGTGGATTTGACAGTGCGTGGTCTTTTATGATGATTGGCGTTCAATGAAATCATATCACGTGCAACGTTGGTGTCCACAGCCAATCTTGACAAAGAACCAATCATAGCTTAAGATGGTTGAGAGCCTTAACCAAAAAGAGGGATACCAAAGTTTCTTGTTGCCCTTATGTTTTCAGCTTTGGCAAAAATTCTTTTATTGCTGCCCTTGTTATTTCCTCAGACATGATTATAAGGACTGCCAACAAGTTGAAAAAAATGGCAAAAACGGCCCCTCAGTTGAGATTAAAAGTTTGGCTCTGATCGTTTTTCATCCAGCTCGGATGTTAATGTCGTATGTTCATCATAGTAGAGTTTACTGCCAAAATAACTCTTTTTTTGAAACATATACCCAAAGTAACCTAGTTTTAAAATTTATTACCTTTATAATTCTTTTTTTGTCACATAGGTTGCATATGTGGCAGGATAGAGATAGAGACACATTCCATTTCTCTTTCCCAACTAATATTTTTCCTGATTCTCTCTTTGAACATTCCTACTTTTTTTTTCGGTTCGTTATTTTTCGTTATTTCATTATTTTTCCTTGTCAAATGTAATTGCCAGAAGCCAATATTTATATTAATAACATCTAAAACTTCATTGTCATTCCTGATATTATATCTGTGGATAAAAATATTCTCCTCAATTTGATAATCACAAGGTAAACGGAGATTATTCTCTTATCTTTTCTATTGTGCAATTTTTGGAACATTCCCATGGCCTTCAAAAATTTTGAATACTAATTGTTTTAATAAATGATTTCTCACACCGTGTGTTTGATAAAATGTTAATAAGAAAACTACGTAACAACATAGATTCATACGCAATATGTTTGATTTCCGCCACATATATAAGCATGTTCATTTGTAGTGCCTCTCTATCACATGATCAAATAATCTCGTATACTTGAAGTATTTTTGCACATTTATTCAACATCAATTAATGGCTTGTGTTACTTTCAAGAAACTTTAGCATTATCTCAATTGCAATAGTTTGATTACTTTTTGTAAAAGTTCTTTTCAAGGAGTCGGAAGTATAACATAAAACAAATATGATAGCCTTGAAGTTTTTGTAACTTTTTCTTGTTATTGCTTACAATTTTCATTGCAACTTTTGTATTTTGCAAATTTATTTTTGAAAAATATATGCAATAAGTTTGATACATTTAAAAAAATTACAGAGAGCAATAATAGCAAGGTCAATAATGGTAGAATTTATTTTAAATAATTATAAGGAAATTATTAAAGTTATGCAATCTTCTTGTGCCTCTATAATAAAAAAGTTTAAATTTTTAGTTTTTGTTGGAAAGTATAAACCAGGTTAAAGCTTTCCTTTATTGTTATACTATATGGCAATCGGGGTAATTAGGTGGCAATAATATAGAATAAAATTGGAAAGTGAATCGTACTGAAAATATTTTTTAGAAAGAGTAGTGTTATTTTGGCAAAAAAACTCCGTCACAGGATCACCTTACTTCTGATCTTGTTTCCACGACAAACATGTGCTTGAGTTGCATATAAAGGTTCCCATTTAGGATGGGAGATAGGTTGAGTGGTTTGAGAAGATAGTGTAAGTGAGAGGTACCGAGCACTTCACTTGCATTAAAAAGAAGAAAAAGGTTCGAATCTAGAATTCTTACTTTTGTCGGCTTGGTAATTGGAATATGTCCGAAAAATAATAGTGAAGCCAAGACTGATATTTGATGCAAGATTTCAGGACACGAGGATCCTCACTAGCTGACATTGAAGCATTGTGCTTATCGAAACAAATCTAGCCAGGAGCTGCGTGTTGATTTTCAACTTTGATGTTGAACCTAAGTTACTGCATAAATTCCAACTGCCGGCCGTTCTTCCTGTCACCTTCTTCCTCTCCGACGACTTTTCAGACCCCCTTCCCCAACGAACAGTATATATTGAACGCAGACACCCAACAGTAGGGCCATGTCATCAGCAACACAATCATGGCTTACGCGAAGACAGCCGTTAACCGGCAAGAAGCGCTCTTGATCATAATCTTCGCTTTCTTGATTTCATTCTCGTCTATTATGGCTTCTACTGATGCTTTGGATTCATGTAAACCAACTGATTCAGGCCCTGTTGTGAAGACCACGCCTTTAGTTTCCTTTCTTGAGACTGTTCAACAAACGTCCCTCAAAACGTTTGGGCACAAAAACTTTGATCCCAAGCTTTACGTCGACATGTCCTTGAAATACAATCTTAATACTACCTTGGAGGCTTTTAATAAGCTTTCAATTGCTGATAACGGGTCGGTTTCTGTTAGCGACTTGAATGATTTTTTAGGCCAATATTTGGAGGGTGCTGATGAGGATTTGGTGTATGCTGAGCCAGTGGACTTTGCTGCTGAGCCTCGAGATTTTCTACCCAATGTGGAGAACCCTGAGATGAGAGCTTGGGCATTGGAAGTCCATTCCCTCTGGAAGAATTTGAGCAGGAAAGTTTCTGACACGGTTCTGGAGAAGCCTGAATTGCATACTTTGCTGCCATTGCCTAAGCCTGTTATTATTCCAGGATCCAGATTTCGAGAGGTTTATTACTGGGATTCTTACTGGGTAATCAGGTCAGTCTAATTTGTAAATTCCCTGTTCCATTTATTCATCAAGCTACAATCTTGTTTGTTTTGCTCTCTTGAGATTGTTGTGTCAACTATCTAGTGTAGAAGGAATTAATACAGTTGGAGCTTGGGATTTTGCTAGCTCCCTATTGGTTCTTGGTTCTCTCAGAAATTATGAAAGAAGTATGGGTAGGCTGGTAATCAAGATTAGTTTTTGTTATCTTGGATTTCAAGCTGTGATGCCAATGGTTTAATACAGAGTTTAGGCCACAGTCAAGCCTACTGCATTCGAATATTTTTTCTTGTATTTTGACATGGAAGATCCATTCATTCTCAGATTCTTTAAAGGGGGGCAGGATGTCGTGAAAGACAAGGAGAAGAGAAGTTAGAATGAAATGCTCTTTCTAATATAGAAAGTCCTCTAACCATTAGGTTATCAATTCTCTCACTATATTTCGGCTATTAGTGTGTATCTAAATGTGTCAAAGGCAGTCCTCATAGCTCTAATTTCTAAGGTCCCTAGTGCATCATTTATTTCAAGATTAAGGCAAATTCTATGGGATTAGAAGTACAGGAACTGTGCCAATTCTGGGTGGGGAGTAATGTACAGATGTACCTTAAGAAAGGCAGCAGGACAAGTTGTTGTGAGCTATGCTAGCTCTGAGAGTAACTGTCCTAGTATGCTAGCTGCTTTCCTCGTTTCCTCAAACTTAATTTCTTGCAGGTCTTTTACTTAGTTGCCTCGATGCGTGCCAATGTCTGGTCACAGTCATTGGTAATTCCAAGTAACCACTATGCTTGATTTACACCGTAACAAAAATTACTTGTTTAAAAATCCAATCATCCTGATCTTGCCTTGGTGAAAACTGAAATGCGGGTAAGTTGTCAAACTCATGAATGTCATTTCTGACTTGGCCGTGAGTCTTGATTCTTTATCAAATTTCCCTTTAAATTTTTTGATTCATTGACGTGGGTGTTTGCCTGTTTGGTACAACTTCATTTTGGAACATAATTCTATGGGAAATTTTTTGTGCCGAGCAGGGGCTTGCTGGCCAGTAAAATGTATGTCACGGCAAAAGGAATTGTGACCAACCTTATTTCCTTAATTGATGAATTCGGTTATGTACTTAATGGTGCAAGGGCATATTACACTAACAGGAGGTAAGCATTTTTATTAGTTTTCTTTATGCTGATTTTCTTCTGCAAACCTAGAAGATGATTTTCAGGTTGTAGTCAAGGGATCCGTGAACACTTTCTTTTTTATCTAGCTGAATTGCTATGTTTTACCAATCTGAACCTGCAAATTCATGATTTCTTTAGATGATGGGTTGACAAGAATCAATCTTTTCTCGTGAATCTTGTATCATGTTATCAGCTAAACATTCATACTTGTTTCGTAATGCTCATAGACAATTCCACAATGTGCTGCACATTTTTTTGCCGCCTCTGCAAAGAGTACCATATTCTAAGGTAGCTAATTGGAGTCAAAGTTCAAAATTTGGAACTTTTTGTTCTGATATTTTGTCTTATAATGAAACATTTTTCAAATTATAGAAAATAATTAGAAGTGAACTTGATGAAAATGCCTACAGTTTTGGAATCAGACGCCAATTGCTCATTTCTGGTGCTACGGACTTCATTGAACAATAGTAACTGTTGCTAATGAGCAATTTGTAGACTAATTAAAGTTTCTGTCTAGCTTGGCCTTTCTCCTCTTGGCACCTGCACTCATGCATTTATTATTTCTTAAGTTGGAGCACTATATTGAGTTTTTTCATTATGTTCTCTATGGCGAAGATGAAATAAAGCTACATGAATGACCTTTGCAGCCAGCCCCCACTCCTGAGTTCTATGATCTTTAACATATACAATCAAACAGGAGATGACGAATTTATCAAAAGTTCCCTTCCTGCGCTGCTTAAGGAGTATGAGTTTTGGAATTCAGGTACCATGAAGCTCTTCAATCTCTTTTTTCATTTTTGTATTTTCTCTGGGTGCTCTGACTTTTCAGTTTATCCACCTTTCTGCTTCATGTTCTGTTTATATGTATTTAATTCTTTTGAAAGCTCTTTTCTCTGATTTTATATGATTAATATCCCCTTTTCTCTGCTTTTGTAACTACAGGGATACATAAGGTGTCCATTAAAGATGCTCAAGGAGAGATCCACAATTTAAGTCGGTACTATGCAATGTGGAATACTCCTAGGCCTGAATCTTCATCAATTGTATGAGCTGTTGAAGTCCTGTTGTCTAATCAGTTAATCTTGCATTTATCGAGTTAATTATAGTTTGTTATAGTTTGTGCTCATGACAACTTTTGATTTTGCAGGACCAAGAAACAGCTTCAAGGCTTTCAAATGTTTGTGAGAAAACACAGCTGTACCGTGAACTGGCATCAGCAGCTGAATCTGGATGGGATTTCAGTACTAGATGGATGAGGTTTGATACCATTTCTTTTTTGTTTTAAGTATGAGGTATAATATCCTTTGAGGTTTAGTAATCTTTGTTCAAGTATCTTTTTTCAATAACTAATAGTCTTGTATGGTAATATGTTTCCTGACGGATTTTTCCCCCATGAATGTGCATCATGGATTATGGCAACTTGAGTGTCTGCACATGCTAGCTTCTTTTAAGGTCTTACCTTACAGAATTTGTTTATGAATGCTATTTGTTCCTCAAATGTGCATCTTGGACCAAAGCAACTCAAATTTTTGCTCATGCTGGTGTCGCCGAAGAGTTCAATTGATTGCAGTTTGATGCATATACTCGTGACATTCTAATTGGCTGACCATTTTCATGGCTTGGTTCAGGAATGCATCTGATCTTACAACATTGTCTACAACATACATAGTTCCTGTGGATTTGAATTCATTCATTCTGAAGGTGATATATCAGCTCATTCCTTATGAATGATGTAGTGGAAAGTTATTTTCTTTAAATTTGGCAAGTAAATTTTATGGTCGGTGTCCAGATGGAACTTGACATAGCCTTTTTGGCAAATGTTACTGGAGAGAGTAGCATAGCTGCAAGATTTACAGAAGCTTCTGAAGCTAGGAAAAAGGCAATGAACGCAATACTTTGGAATGCAGAGAAGGGGCAGTGGTTTGATTACTGGCTTACTGAGACCAATACTTCCAAGGTGACATGCTTATGCAAATTTGAGGACATTTTATGACTTATCTGACAACAATACAAGTTCTGAGGAATGATCGTCGGCTGCAGGATGCATATACCTGGGAAGCTTCAAACCAGAATCAGAAATCATTTGCATCAAACTTCATTCCCTTGTGGGTCAACTTGTTTCATTCAGGTTTCTGCTATACTGTCTCTCTTTTCTTTCCCGTATGCCATCTCTCTGCATTGAAACGCTTGCGTTAGACGTGAGCTGTGAGGTGAAGACGTAATTGGGTTTGCATATTTAGTCTGAGCTGGACGTGAGCTGTGAGCTGAAGCCATAATTGGATTTGCATAATTAGTCTGAGCTCCACCACATTGTCTTGATAGAAATATTTTAGTAATCCCAAAAATTTCTGGTAAAAATTCAACCATCTAGTAAACCCCTTAAATATCTCTAGTTATGTTACTTTGCTGGGGACATACTCATTTACTTTTTTAACATGAAAACTGAAGTTGAAATTTCCCATTTGGGTTAAGTATACTAATAGCGATTCTCTTCCCTGGGTAATTGAAGACGCAACGATGATGGAGAAAGTCATTCAAAGTTTCCAAACTTCAGGCTTGCTTCGTCCTGCAGGGATCGCAACTTCTTTGACAAATACAGGACAACAATGGTACACAATTTCTGTTATGTTGATACACACTTGTATTAAGCTGATAGATTAAACTACTGCGTGAAGTGATAACCTAGACTGAGTTTCAAACAGGGACTTTCCAAATGGTTGGGCACCTCTTCAACACCTAATTGTTGAGGGATTGGTGAGATATGGGTCGGAGGAAGCAAATTCATTAGCCAAAGACATTGCATTGAGATGGATTAGAACCAATTATGTTGCTTACCAGGAAACAGGGGCAATGCATGAGAAGTACGATGTTGAAAAATGTGGAGAATTCGGAGGTGGCGGTGAATATAAGCCTCAAGTAAGTTTTACACGCCCCAAATACAAGCTTTTGTATTGTACTTCTGATGCTTAGAATTATGGTTTATTCATCCAAAGGAATTCCTTTGCTTTCCTGTGAGCTACTCAATTTCTTATCCTAAAATTATATTCCATCTATTGCTAACCAGGCACTAGAATGATTACTGTTTATGGAATTTTACCTGAAACTTGGTGTGGTTCAACGCAGACAGGTTTTGGATGGTCAAATGGAGTTGTATTGGCATTTTTAGAGGAATTTGGATGGCCAGCAGACGTGAAGGTGGGTTGCCAGTGAGCAAGGACATAAAGAAACATATAACCCTGCTCTACTGTAGCGAAAAAGATGTAGGCTGCATTACATATAATACTTGTCGGTAAAATTTGAAGATTCTGTCATCTTTAAAAGTCGCAGTTGGCAATTCATTACCTCTTAGCCTGTAACTGGAGTTGAAATGTGTCATTGATATAAATTGTCCTTGTCTAATAAAGCAGAATCAATTCACTGTTCTTGTTTTTTTTTTTTTCCCTCGCTGTTTAGTTTTGTGTGCAAGGCAGCAAGAGTTATCTATGCAAATACACTACTATTATCTACTAATAAATAACGGTGCGAGCTTATGAAGAATATTAAGTTTTGGTGTAGTACAGATACTAAATCTTCCTGCATTGTGCCATGCCGTCTGATAATCCTTCTGTACCCCCCAAAAAAGGAGGAAAAAAAAGAAAAGAAAACAAGGTTTGAATTGGTCCCATGATGCAAAACTGGATGTTCAAGTGCGTAATTCATCCTTTTCCCACAGTGTCTAAATCTCCCTCCCCTGCCCTATCTGTGGCTTCTGGTTTGTGCTATTCTATCTTTGCTTTTTAACATGCCGGGACCGCGCACTAATTTTCGATCACAGGTGGTAGAGCGTTCTATCTTCTATACATCTAATCCCCTATTTAATCCTCTTTTTTTTTTTTTTTCCTCCTTTCACAGCGGAAGGATGGAATTTAAAAAACGAGAAGCGGAAGATGGGATTTAAAAAACGAGAAGCGGAAGAGAGTTTTGAACTCGAAACTTTTTATTTTTATCGAAACCTTCTCAACTCCTAATCAATCTATTAAGAAAAAGCGCCCTCTAATTAATAAGTTTACCTGTACTCATTAACCTTAAAAAAAAAAAAAAGGGTCTTGATTCGACGCTTAAAACTTCCCTGTACTTGTGATCGGTTAATTGAAGCAGGGATTAGGAAAGATATTATTATTGTCACTGCTAAGCACCACCAATTACGAGGCTAGTGGTTGGGACCTAGGCGGAGTACTTAGTTGCCTGTTGATTTGTAATATATGTTCTTTTTCGTTGCCAAACTGGAATTATTATTAAATATTGTAGACGACAAAAGGGTAACAAGCAACCAATGAGACTGATCAAGGGATCATAATGCTAATCTCCGAACTCAAATTCTAGCTTAATTTGGTGGTGGTGGTGGGTGGTGCATGACGCAGCAGGAGAAGATGATCATCCGCATATGGTTTGGGGCCTACTTAGTTGGGGTGGTGATGGTGGGTCATCGCTCGATAGATTTCTTTCATGATGAGAAACCATAATCTATTCCAAAAAGCCTAATTTGTTGGAGATTAGCCAGAAAACGTGTGTTGTTTTAGTCACAATCATGCAAATGGTACAGAGGCCCAAACTCCAGCATTCTCAATTTCTGTAGCAATCAGGAAAGAGACGGATCAAAGTTGATTCCTTTGGCATCACCCTGATCCTGATTACTAATATTTAATAGGCTGCCCGTGATTTCCTAACTTCATAGCTTGCTGCCAAGAAGACCATAATAATTGATACTAATTGTCTTGCCATATTATGCAAAGCTAAAAATTACTCCGTTCGTTCAAACTTTTCCAGTTCCTCTTTTGATGATCAGAATTTGTACTCTATTACCTAAACTCCTGATATCTAAAGCATCAAACTTGAACTCAATTTCCCATCATCTCTAATCAAATTGCTTACTGCTTCTATTAACAATAATTAACCTTATCTGTCTATCTATCCATCTATTATTATTAATATATTAAAAGTATGATGACTCTTAGCGTTGTAGAGTGTAAGCATTTTTTTTTTTTTTTAATTTTAGTTTTCGTTGTACCTATATTGCCCTCCCGTCTTTCAATCAACGCTATTGCATGTTAATTGTGGTACTAATTAAAATTATGAAACATTCCAAATGATAAAATCTCAATAAATGCTGGCGATTAAAATGAAAAACTCCCTATTAAAACTATTTAGCTACCTTTGCAGTCCACCTCCAATTCTTATGAGTGTCAAAGTTTATTAACCGAAGCAATTTCTTGCTTGAAATAGTGTGATCAATTGCATTAGCCACAATTCTAGGAGTAAAAAAACATTAGTATCAAAAAATAAATAAATGCGTTTAGAATGAAAGGGAAATGTATAAGAAGAACAGATAGAGTCCATATTCAATTTGAGAATCTTGATATGAATATCACGGGACAGATGCATAATTATGTGCTATTTATCAATATGAAGAAATACAAAAAAAAATAAATTAAAACATTCAACTATTTTTATCAATTGAATTTTATTTGACAACTAGACAGCCAATCTAAGACAATTGAGCAGTATAGATCATTTACATTCTTTATTAACATCAATAACACTTAGACCCAATATGAATGATCCAAATTCAATTATGCGTCTCACATTATTCAATTCAAATTCATAAAAATTTGAAAAGTTCATCTAGAAAGATATAAGGTAGAATAATAAAAGGTTTCATGCAAAGTTGGATATGAGCACAATTCACATATTTTATTTATAATTAATTAATTCATTTTAATTGTACAATTGCATTTTGTTTGTCTTAGCAAAAAACATTTTCAAAATGTTGATACAAATTTTGTTTTCATTTATTAAAAATTGTTGATTTCATTGGAAACTTAACCAAGGATTTTTTTTTTTCCACAAGTCAAAAAGCACCTCTAAACTGTGGATCTTGTCAAGGAGTAAAAGAAAGAGCAAGTGTGGTGAAAATAATTAAAATGACAAAATCTAATAAGCCAATTCATTTACTCTAATACCTCTCTAAAATTGATTTTACAATCTAAATCTTTATTTAATTATGAATTCTATTTCCTAGGCTCACACTTAACATGTGTACATATATTTTCAATTTAACATCTTTTGTACGACATTGAAAAATTCAATATCATGATTTAATGGTACAAATATTGCGATTATATAACAATTTCGGCAGAACATGACCATATTAATAATTGCTTGTCAAAATTGAATCCATAATTTACTAAAAAGCTCAAAATAAATTTAAAAATCAATAAATCAAAAAGTTTGAATCTCATTGATCTTTGTAACAATCATTGGTTAAAGAAATTAAAAATATAAAATATTCTATTACGAGATAAAAAAAAATTAAATTTCACTAAAAATGTATACCTAAAAGATGTTATATTTTAGTTAATATAATCACGTACGAAGAACGTGAACTATTACTAGTTATCTTAGGGTTGATAAACTTCAGCTAATTTTGGCACATAATCTAAACTTAAGGGTGTTATCTAATCACAAAAGTGTTATAAAATGAAATATGAATAAGGCAATTTGATTGGAATATAGATAAGGATGAGAAAATTAAGTTCAATTTGTATACTTCAGATGCCTTGATGGCAAATCAGGAGTTCACATGAAGCAAAGTAGTAGGTTCTTCGAGAAGAGGGACAGTTTGCATACTTATATGTTTCGTTTTGCACTTTGAAGTTCAGTATTTATCCCACGATTGACAGTGCGAGTATTTTACCCTCAACTTTACATGATCGTTCTTTTCACCAACTGCACGCTTTTTTAATTAATGTTCATACTTGGGGCCGGTGGCCACATTTGTAGATTGACAATAGGTAACAAGAACTATATATGCGTCCATATGATAGGCAAGGAAGGTGGGAAGCTTCGATTTTGGGGAGTTTGATGCGTTAGTACTTATAGTAGTTTGTTTTGGGGCAAGTATTAGGTAAAAGTTGCTTTTAGTTTATCACAGACCTTGAGTGCTTATTTAAGGAGGGTGGTACTAGAGTTGTTTTTCAAAAGGAGATCAACCAATTAATAATTGATGAAAAAAAAAAGAAAACAAGAAACAAATTAGTGGGTGATCAAGTCAAGATTGTATACTTAAGAGGGGCAGAGGAAAAGATTGGTCATAATGTAGGAAACACGATATCCTACTAAGAAGTAAGAAGGAGGGTCCCTTCAAGATTCGAGGCTCCCGCGGAAACAATGTATAGTGGCAATCATTGAAGAAGAATAGTCGTGTTCATTCATTGATGAGTCTATCCAGCGCAGGTCTTCCCTTTTGACACATAAAACACCAATCTGTTGATTCATTGAGTAGTAATTCTACTTCAAGGAAATCATTCATTGAATAAATTATATAGATATAGTAGTACTGATTGTAGTGGGATGATATATTTAATCAGCAGCACCACGATTGGAGTATCATTAATTAAATTAGTGTATTTATGATCCGGACTCCCTCGTCTCGATCCAAGGTTATACTAATAATACTAGTCAAATTGGAGTTGGCCAACAAAACTTGTTATCCTAATTAATAATTAAAGAAAGAAAGAGAAATCAAACCCAAACACATTTATGTGAGGCGCTTGATTTGGATTGGAGGGCACACTGCATCCGAACGATAACCTGCAGACAAATCTGGAAGAAACCGACTGTAGAGGAGAGATCTTGCTTATTTATAGGTCCTTCCATGACAAAACTGAAAGATGCTTAAAGGTAAAGTAGGAACAAACTACTTTTAATTGCAGCACCCTTCTAATCAATCCTTTTAATTGGGAGGAATTGGGAGGAAGGGTTGAACGCCATCTTAATTCCACGAACAAATTTGTATCGATTTCCTGCACTAATTAGGTATCACCTACTGACAATACAGAACGAATTAGTCGGACAAAACATTTTTGTCAGAGTTGCAATACATGCATGTACGCCAGTTTCCTCAAGCGTCAAAACATACTTTTCATTCATTGAACTTTCAAGAAAGATTGCCCGCAGGAGGAATCTCAATAATGCATGCATACCCCCATCAATGAACACGACATTACTGTACATTTTCTGGCTCCCGATTATCGTACATCGTACATGTTTCATACCTTCCAATGCAAGCAAAGGACCGTGCATGAATTAATAGTTGTCTTTAGCAAAATTTTTTTTTAAAAAAAAAACAAGAAGAAGAAGAAGAAGAAGATTCTTGTCTTACACGCTCGCAATTGCCCATAGTACTTAGTCAAATACAATAATTATTTTTTGCTTACCGTATCCCTGACTCCCAGCTACATGAGTATGAATAGAATGGTTAATTTAAATCAAAAGCTAAACTTTAGGTTTGCTTTGGGGATCTGAATAAACAAAGCCCATGGTTGCATATAATTCGCTCAACCCTGCCAACGCTACTATGCTCCAGGCTTGATCCTCCAGGAGGATGAGAAAAGTGCCTAGCTAGCTTTAACCTTTTCTTCCCCTATTTCTGACATCCAGTCCCTATATATAAGAATTAGACTGGTCCATTACAAAAACCGTTGAAGTGGATTAGATTTAAGAAGAGTTAGCTGGCTATCAACCATAAACAAATCGTTTGGAAAAAAAAAAACCATAAACAAATGTGTTCTCAAACAACACGTAGCACTCTATACAGGAAGAGTGAAGGGGATATGATGAAGGTGGAAAATTATAGGCAAAAAGAAGGTTTTAATAAATATTTAAAAATGGTTAGGTTAGGTGGGGAATGTGAAGGCGATGGTCGACTCATAGCTTTGATTCTAAAGGCTCTGGAAGGGTTGCGAATTTCGAACGTAGGTACTTGCATCGAGCAGTTCGCTGTTTCGTTTTGAATCTCAAAATTTCTTCCCCATGTGCTAATGCTAATACAAAAATCTAGCATTGGCTTTAATATTTCCGCTTTGGAAGACTAGCAGCTTAATCGAAATAAGTACTCTTCTCTTCTTTTTCCTTCCGGAGACGTTTTAGTTGACCTTCGATCTTTTGCCTAAACTTTAGTTTGACCGCTTACTTGTTGAAGTAGCTCCGGTAATTGCGTGGCTTCGTTTTCTCCTCCAGAAATTGAAGAACAGAGAGGCTCGAAAGATACTTAACTTGACAATTTAAGCAGCAGTAGTATAACTTTTGCATTAGGGCTGCCAGCTAGGTTCATGGGATTCATTTACATCATCAGTATCTACATGTAGATGTATATAGGTACGTACACCATCTCCGGTCAACGATTATCGGCTGTGCTAATAATTGCCATGCACAACTCAAGCATATAATATAATTGTCGTGACTAATGTGAGCATGTGGCAAGGTCATATATATATATATATATATATATATATATATATATATATATATATATATATATATATACTTGTGTTGTGACTTGTGAATGAGAGACAATGGTGAATACTGGTCTAATTAATTAGTACATACTCAACTCTCAAGAAATGAAATAGGCATATTATCACCATAGGAAAAAGCTGCATTTTGCAAGATTTTTTTTAAAAAAAAAAAACACTTACTACTATATATGTTAAGCAACAATAAGATAAAAGAGGCGAGTGGTGGCGGGGGCGTCTGGGTCCGCGCATGGATTGAAGGCACGGGAGCTGAAGAAGTGCTTCAAAAAGCTGAATTTTAGTGACTTCTTTTCCTTTTGTTATGCAACCTTTCTTGGCTCATAAAGGAAAAATAAATAAATAAACAACCATTGAAGGCCCTACCCACCTTTTCTCCTTTTTCCCGTCACAGAAGGGTGGCTCGAGGAATCATCATATTTTCCTCTACTTCTCCTTCATCTTTAAGAATTAACTAAGAAAGAACTAAGCATTGATTCGGCAATTATGAGATCATAACAGAAGTTCACCATATTTGGACTGTAGCATAGTTACCAGATTACGCGTCATTTACGTCGTACCGTAACTGGAATCCTTATTCGTAAGATTCCTGATCAGAAAGTGATCAGCTATTTTAATCAAGATAATGGGAATCAAGTACTCCACGCTTTGTTTGTATATTATGGTATGGGTTCCAAAAAATGAAATTTCTGACAAGTGTAGGAATCAAGAAGTCCTAGTTTTAGTGATAAATAACAGAAAAGATGCCTTGGAAGGGAAGAGAAACAAAGGATGGATGGATACGTGATATACTTTGACAGTGAAAAGTGGCATTTGTGGCGTCCCATGATAGTAATACAATTGCATGTGTTGGCACATTCAAGATAATCAGGCGGGTTTCTTCATTGAAGGGTTGGGAGGGTTTAGGTCATTTGCGAATGATTGACCAGTAATTTCTGTTATGTATCCGAAGATAGAGACAGATTAAGAGAGCAAATGACAGATTCGAGGCCGTAGATTGACTCGTCTCCCTACCCTCACGTGCGATCCCTCTTTAACTATTGATTATCAAGGAAAACTATCAAGACTGCCCTTGTGCAACCTTGAATTTTATCCCACTCTTGATTTCAATTTTTACCCCCCCCCCCTCATGTCATGTAATGTAACGTATGTATTAGATCTCGAATTTGAAATCTCTCACTTACCCTGCCTTTCTTTCTCGTATTACCCCTCCCATTCCTCCCCCTTTCCCCTTTCTTATAACTATACTCAGATTTCATGATTTCTTTCTGAGTTTTTCATTTTTGAAAATTTTTCCCGTATTGGGTTAGCCTTTGTGTGGATTGTGGCCTATTGTGTTGGTGCAATTGGTGTTTAATTAATCACCGACCGTTGCCTCTAACCAATCACAGTTTTACAATGCCAAACCAGCAAACAGTTGACTTTATTTTCTTTGACGATCGAAATACCTTAGTTTAGCTTGTCCCTACTTCTGTATCCGTAAGATGATCAACATTTTCCATTGCACGATGATCTTGGTATTCTAGGTACAACTTTTGAATTGAATGCTATTTTCCCATTCCCTGATCTTTAAATTGAATGCTATTTAAGTTTTCCCATTCCCTGGCGTGACAACCATGTAAGAAAAAGTTAAGGGTAAAACGTCTAGGTCATTTAATTTTCACATGATAGTTTCTACATGTCTAAATTCAACCAATATTTAATGGATACTTTGATTCTTCTGCATAATTTACAAAAAAAAAAAATGCTATATGCAAATTTGTTCATAAATCGAGACATACAACAATGATAAGGTTGTGATTGTTTTGGGGGAAGCCATAGGTTGGATGATAAGGAGAGAGAGTGTAAGTGAGAGATCTTACACCAAAAAAAAGGTTATGATTATTTTGATGGCATTTTATTTCTTTTTAAAAAAATTTTAGTCAATCAATAACTTTTACTCCTACTCTAACTTAAGCGATTAGAGGGAGAAGATCCACCTTTAGATCACACGGATACATTACTGTATCTTTCAACAACTCTTATTCCTACTCTAACTTAAGGAATCAGTTGTTAAATAAATATCCTTTGGATTTATTACAAGTGTAAAAGTTTCAACTGCACCCCTGACCTGCAGTCAAATGTATATCTCATATTTCACTTGATGGTCAACTCACCCAATGGAAAGTTAGTTGATGGCATATTATCATTTGTAGTAGTACATTTTATTGGTACAGAAAAAACTTACGGCAACGTATTACTTGTATAATAAAAAGGACGGTCTAAAATGGTGAATCTGGTAAGAAAGAAGGCAAAATCACACAAAACAAGAAAAGATAACCGGAAAAAACAAGAAATAAAAAAAGAAGGAAAGGTAGAAAGTGGCGGTCAAGTTAGTTAAGAAACTGGTTGAATTAAAGAAAGAGTTAAAGCTTTACTGGTACCCAAAAAAAATGGAAAATCAATTAAAATATGCATCAATCAAATGACAAAGATATAATACGCGCCAACTCTCCTAATAATTGATTCCCTAATCCCTCCCTTTCTCCCTCCTAAGTCCTGTCATTATAAAAATCCCATCTCCTCCTTTTCCTTCTTTTCTTGTATCATCTTTGATCACCAGCCAAGCCATCTATCCATCCTCCTCCTCCTCTTCCTCCTCCAAAAGAAAGAGTTCATTTAGTAGTATTATACTGTCTGCGCTCCGTGAGTTGCAGCCTTCAGCGACTAACAGACACCAGCAATTCTCTTTGTCTCAGCCCGCACAACAGATAGAAATTAATTGACAAGAGCAAAATCAAAAGTCTACGTCCACCATCACATCCACAAGTACTAGCAGTCCAGCAGTAACCATTACTGCTTACGTAAATTGCAAGCACTATTCCTCCTGCACTATTCCCTGTTTGCCGACTCTCCGCAAAAGTATTTTCTACTACATCTTTCTACATTACACAGCACCTTCCATCACCTACAGTGGCAGTCGTCAATTCATTGCTCGATGTATATGCATGGACCCCGAAAAGTGATGGTATGGTAGCTTCTTCTTGCTACCACTTAGCTTAGCTCATTCCCTAGTAGTATAAGTTACAGGTCCATGCCACCGACTAAATACTCGTAGTACAGAATTAAACGCTGCTGCTTTTACATACTACTACTTTATAATTCTCCGTCATCAAGTACAAATGCTGGAAACTGTTAAGTACCTGCTTGGCTCTGCCGGTCCAAGCGGCTTTGGCTCCAAGTCCACCGCCGAACAAGTCACCGACTACTGCCCTGATCTCCGCTCCATCACCGCCATCATCACAGGTAAATAATATCCCAAAGGAAAAATAGCCACACCATCAAAGGGTTCCATTCCCCTTCCCTCGCTCCATCCACAATCCATCCTGTCACCTCCCACCCCTGCCTAGCTTGGTTACGTTCTCTCTTAGACAGTTATACTATGACTGTTATATTTTTATGGTTGTTTAGTATATTGTCGTATTAATATATATATATATAGGTGCGACGTCGGGGATCGGTGCTGAAACGGCTAGGGTGTTGGCTAAGCGGGGAGCCAGGCTGGTCCTCCCTGCCAGGAGCCTCAAAGCCGCCGAGGATAGCAAGGCTCGAATTTTGTCCGAGTTTCCAGAGTCCGACATTATTGTCATGCCTCTTGATCTTAGCTCTTTCTTCTCCGTTAGAAAGTTCGTTGCAGACTTCCGCTCTCTTAATTTACCCCTTCATCTCCTCATGTAAGTACCCATTATTGATCACACTTCCAAAAAACCCCTCGTTTTTCCCCCTTTTTCCTCTTGGATTACTCTTTTCGTTGTATTTTACAAAAATATGCTTGTTAACTGTTTTTCATAAGATAACAAAAGTAGTATGACGTTCCATCCGAGTACTGCAATTTTTTAGTATATGTGTAATTTTTTTTCTATAAAATATTTTCTGGAGATGGTACTACGGTTACGGGGTTTATTCCTTCATTTGGTAGAAGATAGGACAGAGGGGAATAAATTGCAGATGTTAGTACGTTTTGGTTAAATGTTAAGAGTTACTATTTGTTTATTTTATGTGTAGGTATCTTCAACTGAAGATGCAGAATTTTTCAACTACTCCTTCTTGAAAATTGCGTAACGTGTTTCCTTAATCAAGTGTCTCACTAAATCTGTAACAGAAACAACGCCGGAAAATTCACACACGAGCATGCCATTTCTGAGGATGGAATCGAGATGACCTTTGCTACCAACTATTTAGGTAATGCTTCCAATAAGAAAGAAAGGGAATAGAATAAACAGATAAACTAGCACGGCCATGCAAATATGATAGATGTATGTGAATATATAACAGGTATGCAATTGTGTGCTTTTTGATTTTTTGGATTTTTTTAAAAAAAAAAAAAAAAAAAAACAGGTCACTTCTTGTTGACAAAGCTGTTGGTAACCAAGATGGTGGAGACTGCCAAGTCAACCGGCGTTCAGGGAAGAATAGTGAACGTGTCTTCGAGCATCCACAGCTGGTTCTCCGGTGACCCGATCAGTTATCTGAGTTCCATAACCAGAAGCAGAAGGTGAGCAGTTTGATTAATGCAACAAATCACAAACATTAAAGACAGGGATCGCAACCTGATACCGATCGAAGTAAATGCAGCTGCAAAAACAGCAGAAGCAGCAGGCCGGGTGAGAAGACCCCCAAAAAAAAAAAAAAAAAGAATTAAAAAAGGGCAGGCTTCACTTCTTTAGTCCTGTATCTTGCAAGCAATATTAGGACAGACAAGAGTACATGATACGTGGCACTTAATTTCAATTTGTGAGAATATATATATATATATGTATATAGTCACAACTAAACTAAGAAGTATCAATGCTTTAAAACATGCAAATCCCTCCTTAATTAATTACGTACAGAAATTAAGAATTTGTGGAGGTAGCTTTTGTTTTATCTTTTGCCTTTGGTTGTTGGTTAATGAAATGGAAATAAATTAATGATGCTTAAAGAGATTATTTGTGTTGGGGCTGGACAGTCATTACGATGCAACACGTGCATATGCTCTGTCGAAGCTGGCTAACGTTTTGCACACCAAGGAACTTGCTCAGAGACTCCAAGTAAGTTTACTGATCATCGAAACTCCAAGTGTACTGGCACTGAATTTTTATTTATTTAATTAATTATATATGGTGAAGAGTCTATACTATATATATAGTACAGACTACTACAGTACAGAGTAATTGGTGGGTGAATGTCGCAGGAGATGGAGGCAAATGTGACAGTGAATTGTGTACATCCAGGGATTGTGAGAACTAGACTTACTCGAGAACGAGACGGTCTCATTACCGGTCGGTACCCCAATTCATTCATCAGCACTTCAAGTAATTAACTGTGTATGCATGCATGCGTTTGCGTATATATATATATATTTTTTTTCTAGGATATGCCTAGTCTGGTGTCTTTAACAGGATCTAGATACAATTTACAAACGTATACGCATGTGGCCGTGCAGATCTGGTGTTCTTTTTGGCTTCCAAGCTCCTCAAAACCATCCCTCAGGTTAGGTTAATTCTTTTTCATGTATGCATGCATTACACAGCCAACTACACTAACTCCCTTGGCCTTGGGGGTTCAACAAATAGAATAGTTGAGGGGTGACAGTGACACGCCTCCTTTAAACCAACAATTTACCTATTCTTGAAGTACGTACAGCACTATGTATACATATATAGCATAGCTCGACTGAGGGCGCATTTATTTTTATCTGCATGTCATGTCTCTTCCATTTAAGTAAGTGTCTGTGTATATATATATATATATATATATGTGACATCTCGAACAGGGTGAATTAGGCACTCGTGTGCTAATTTCATTCATTCCATTGCCATATGCAATAAATTATTTATTATATGTTGAGAGAAATTAATTATGATGTCAAGTAAAAAATTAATCGAAACAGTAATTAAGATGCAAAAAGTGCATTATTTTTATTTTTATTATTCTCATAATGAATGAGTGAGACTCAAACAAACTTTCATAATTAAATCCAAACGAACCAAAAGACAAGAGCAGCTGCAACGACAATTAATGTGTGTAAAAATGAATCTCTAATTAAACTAATACATACGGACTAATTATTCAGGCTGCTGCAACGACTTGCTATGTGGCAACTCATCCGAGACTCTTAAAGGTGACCGGAAAATATTTCGCAGACTGCAATGAAGCTCCAGCCTCAAAGTTGGCATCCAACTCGTCGGAAGCTGCACGGATTTGGTCTGCCTCCGAAACCATGATTTCCAAGGATCCGTATTTAATTAATAATTAATGGCTTTCTTCAACATTAATTAGACTATACAAATGGTATTGTAGCACATATTATATATCAAGAAAAGACGTACAGTAGTACATACATGTATAGTGGTTACTTGTATAAGAAAATTATGTACTAGTTAATTCATAATTACAGGATGTAGTTAATTGTAATGCTAGAGCAAAATGGATATATGGTTCCATGTGAGCGGTTGGAATTTTTTTTTTTTTTTTTAAATTTTTTGGGAGCATCTTTTGGGGCCTACTAACATGGCATCATCGGATAAACCCCCAACTACAAGGGTCGTGCCGTGGGAATATGAATGTATCCTCCTCCTCGGCTCCTCCTCCATTTTAGTTTTCTCATTTCTGGTTGTTGAGTTGCATACTTCTTTTCTACGTGTTGTGTTGCATATATATGAGCTTAACTCATGCACAAGAACATTTCTTACTGCTAATGAACTTACCACTTTATGGAGACAGTCTTAACTCTTTAAAATATTATAAGAAAATTCAGTGACAATTTGGCCTTTTTTTCTTCTTCCTTTTTTGGGTTAATTGGGTAATTAAGAAGGAAGGAGCCAATATGGTCTTAAAGATTCCAACTTTCAAGCACTTGTAGTTCTTAGAACCAGCCATAGATACCTCAAGTTTCACCACAACAAAAGATTGCACTTCTAGTTTCCATCCACTCTCTAAAATTAATTACCCTGTAACTAACTAAAGTCATGATAAAAAGTTGAAAGAAGATTGAGCTTTGAACATTTATAAGTTGAAAAAAGTTCAAAACCCTGGCACATACATAATCTGGCGTCATTCTAGGAGTTAGCAATAGTTTCTTGGTTTATTGCTTGGACGCATATTAATTAAAGAAGGAAGAAAAATCTTTACTTTTCATCCAAAATTTTGCTATTTTATAGTTACTTGACGATAAGTCACTGTCACTCTTGCTTTCTGACATCTTAAATGCCTAATTACACAGTATCCATGGAAAACTGGGTAGCCTTCTTTTGGTGTCACTTTATCCCAAGAATGGTGGACCAAACTACCGACTTTCAGGCCATCGACTTGACGACACTCGTTCTTGAGAAAAGGAAGCAGATGCCGGTCTGCTACAAGAGAAAAGTGCTTAAGCTACACATTGCTGCATGCCCCCATACACCATTTATTTGTGTCGCTTTATCCTTTGCCCACCACGGTCTGCTTTCTGCATCGGATAGCAACTTGAGGTGGATTTGCCATCTCTATGGCGTCTCATTTACTACTACTGCTTTTCAGACCTCCATTAATGTTCATCGTCTAGGCTGGATGGTGTCAACAAATGATATACAGGAAGAAATTATGGAGAAGAGAAGAAATTTATCTGCAGAATCCCCTGCCAACCTAGGCTTCTATTTGTCAAAGCTGCTCATGTCATAATTAACTGTGCTAATGACCTTTAACTCATGCACAACCACATTTCTTACTCTGCTAATGAACTTGCCACTTTATGGAGACGGTCTCAACTCTCAAAAATATTAAGAAAAATCAGTGACAACGATTCTACCCCCTTACATGTGGAGAAGAAGTATATATATTAGCCCAATTCAGTCTGAAGTCTGAACCATATTTATAATGCCGCACGCATATAACTCAATAGAAGTCTCACACGCATATAACTCATCAAAACGTAATCTTCGACAGGCAGCAATGCATAAACAGTAGTTTCACGATTAATAATCTTTAAAAACACCAAGATGCCATACATTATAGACAAACTTCAACGAACTACGACATATCAAACAAATTTCGTATAGTTGTATTGGTTCTGTTTGCTGTTTGATGACCTTTTAGAGTAATGCTTACATATTTACGTATGAAGTCATAACGGTGCCTTTTATATAGCTAGCGTAGTAGTACCAATATATTGGTTCCCATTTTCAAGTCATAAGTTAACTATAACTCATAAGGGTGTGTTTCAAGAGAATGAAGTCTAAAATTTGAATTTATTAAATTACTGAATCGTTAACCACTCAAAACTTAACGTTTGAAAATGTTCTGCATTAAATGATAACTGAATAATTTATCACTTATGTTTTGAATAAATTTTGTCTAAATAATTCAAAACCACTTAATTAATTAAGATGTTTTATTTTTTATTATCAAGCACGTCTTAACTTATTAAGATATGAATTCATTAAGTTTAAACGCTGAATTGGATTGTCTAGCAGGACCTAAGTATCCTTCTTTCTTGTGTTCTTTTCGGTGAAAATTACTACATACTACATGTGAAGTAAAAAACCTTTTGATTCTACTTCTAAGATAATAATGCATTATATCCATGCTATTTCATTACTGCAGGATAAAATTGAACTACAACTACACAGCACTAACTTTAAATATCAAAATCGCAAAACCGGTTACTTAATGGTCGTAAATCTCTTGATCATAATGGATATGATTTTTATTTTTTCATGCTGAATATATTTGTGCATTGAAATTTGTGACTTTTGGATAACTATATATACCATTTTAAAAGCGGAAGAATATTAAAAGTACAAAGCCTTTTGATCCCCAAATTTCAGAATCAATTTAAGAGTTTTGCAAATATATAAAGCTTTGGGCCTTTGGGTTTCATAAAGCCCACTTTAAACAGACCCGAAATTGCAAGTACAGCGAGGACTTCCCAGAACTCCGATCCATTTCTTAAACCCTCTGGACCTTAAAACCCCTGATCAGAACTGCACTGCCTAGCTCCACCAGGCCACCCAGAAATGGCGTCCTCGGTCTCGGGGACGATCGTCCCAAGATTCACGGCCGACACTCTCCGCTCCGCCGCCAAACTCTCCCAAGGCTGCCACGTGGTCCCCGTCCGCCTCCGCCGGGCCATCAAAAAATACCTCCGTGGTACACATGTATTCCCATCTCTCGCTGCACAGAAGGTGAATTGATCTTAAAAGGTTTGTGATTGAACATTTTCTTGATCATTGTTTTGTTGTAGAAAAAGAGGACCCACATATGAAAAGGAAAGTGTTGAGCTTGTCTGAATCCTTTCACGAAGTCAAGGAAGTGAATCTGCTGCTGCCGACGTCGACTTCAAAGGAGCTAGTGGAAGATCCCCTGAAGAGCATGCAAAGCTCAAAAAGATGGAAGATTAAGAGTGCTTATGGGGACATTGGCCTCAAGTATAGAGATGATGAGACTATTGCCTACGTGGCATCTCGGATGCCGGCCGTCTATGCCGCTTGCTACAGAGTCCTCAGCGAGGTAACGCAATTTATAAACTAAAGCGAGCACATTTGAATATTTCAGTTGTTGGGTATAGTTAGAAATGTAAAGCCCCACAATGAGAAATGTAAAGTTGTTTTTTTTCTCTCTGTTTTTTGTTGCAAATTTTAAGGTGAAGAGGAGATTGCCGGATTTTTCTCCTGCTAAGGTGTTGGATTTTGGGGCTGGGACTGGTTCTGCAATGTGGTGAGTAATTTGCTAGGAGGGGGGAGGTGGGGTGGTGTGTTTAATGGCATTGATGATTGAACTTTGTTGTTGTGAAGGGCTTTGAGAGAGGTTTGGCCGAAGTCGATGGAAAAGATCAATTTGATAGAGCCATCACAGTCTATGCAGCGGGCGGGGCAGAGGCTTATAAAAGGTAAATATATGCTGCATTGCTTGAGTTCGAACAATCCTTACGTTCTCACTCGTCTAACTTCTTCCTTTAGCTGTTTACGTATGGAGTCTTATCGAGTCTTATAAAATGTTTACGCATGGAGTCTTATAAAGGTTCCCTTTTTCCACTCTTATTTCACGTTGTTAGTACAGATGCTTGAAGTACCTTCAGTTTAATTGCTAAAGATTATTTTTGTACAATTCAATAAGCCCAAAAAGGAAAAAAGTGAAATTAAGTTCAGGTAAAGAAATTAGATTATTGTTTTCTTTGAACATGGATACCACAATACAGCAACTTGATGTATTGATTGCTGCACCTTTTAACTGAAACAAATTCCAACCTAATTTCTTGAATTCCAATGTAGATGAGCAGTATGTCGAATTAAGTGTTCTTAGGCATTTAGAGTTACTAAGCAGACAGCCTTGCAAAATAACGGGGAGCTTCATATGCTTTGAGAATTATTGTTGATTTTAGGCTCAATTTTCTATGTTTCTCTTGTTTTCTCATTGGAAAGTTATTATGGAAGGATTTCCGATGGTTTTGGTATGAGATATCAGTAATATTCTATGATTATTGTAGATCTAAAAGATTTGCCGTTTATTCAAAGTTATGGCAGCATTCAAGCACTGACTCAGAGTATCAGTAAGTCTGATACACAGCATGATCTTGTAATTGCTGTAAGTATCCTCATTACCCTTATTGTTAGTTGTATTTGTCAAATATAACATGTTTCCTTGCTGCATATGGGCTTTCTAAGAGAAATCTCCCAAAAGGCCATCTAACACCAGCTACCATATATAGTTTCTGGCATTTTGAAGTTTAACCTCCCTATATAGTCTTAAAATGTTGCAAAAAACAGCCCTACGAGGGACTCTTGATTTCAGCGCTGAGTACAGTACTTTCAGTTCAATGTCTATCTCAAATAGTATATTGTGCTAGAAGTCTTTGTGGATTTGATAAGTGCTACTGCCTAATCAGTGTCTGTTGTTCTCTATTGTTGGGTGTAGTCATATGTGCTTGGGGAGATACCATCTCTAAAGGACAGAATTACTGTTGTACGTCAACTCTGGGATCTTACTGGGGATGTCCTGGTAAGTTTATTCAGATCCATGTATGTGCATACCAGTTTAGCAAGGGTATATAGCACTCTTAGGAACTATGATTGCTTTCAGAACTTCCTGAGAGCCATGGTGATTAGATATCTTTTCAATGCATGATCTCTGAGGATAGAAAGACATATCTAGGGTCATCTTTTCATGCACATAGCAGATGATATTGGCATAAAATTCCAAATGGACTCAGTATATCTGAGTTCATTTTTAGGTGCCATCGTCACATGTTTCTATCAAGCCAGACATGACAGTGGAATACTAGTTGAATTAAGTAACTCATGGAGTTTACTTTACCCTGAACTGTGAAATTGAAGCTTTGTTATCTAGTAAGGAGCCAAGTTTTTGTAGATTGACTTGAGTATTTGGGATCTTTTCCTTCTGGGGAACAAAAGAAATTGCAAACAGTTGGGCTGTTTTTGGGTACCAAGTGATTGAGTTTAACAAGCTATATGTGGATATTATGCTGTTCAAGCCAACTTAGTTGATCTAGCAATTTATGCTTCCCAAGATAGGTTGAAGTAGATGCTCCTTGTCAGAAAGTTAACATATTTGCTTTGGAACAGATTCTTATTGAACCTGGAACACCAGAGGGATCTAATATCATATCCCAAATGCGATCTCATATTTTATGGATGGAAAGCAGGGTGAGAGTGCTTTTGATTGATACTGCTTTAAGGCTTCTTATGATGTATTTCATTGGCACAACTGTTTTATCCCGACTCACATATAGTTTTGTCAAATAACTTTCACAGAAGATCCGCAAGTTGGAATCTGCATCTCATAAATCATCTAAGAGCTTGATAACGATGAAAAGTGGTGCATTCATTGTTGCTCCTGTGAGTTAGATACTGATATCCTTTCTATATTTCCTGGGAGATTTTCCATCGCGTTAGTGATGCTGTTTGAGAGTAAATTTGTTAAGTACCTGTCTTGTTCATTACTTGTGTTGTTACTGCAGTGTCCACATGATGGGCGTTGCCCACTATATAATACAGGAAAATATTGTCATTTTGTGCAACGGTTGGAGAGAACAACATCACAGCGAGCTTACAAGGTTGTTCTCTAAACTTGGTTCACCATGCCTTCATGACTTGTCTCAAAAGTGGGTTTAACTTGGACGAAATATTGAAAAACATGTTGATCATGTTGCTGTAGTTCTTCTAGGTTCATGCTGTATCTCTTGATCCATTAATGTATCAAGGGAACCAGGTTTCATCATTCTGTGACGTCTAATAGATAATCATTTTGCCATCTGATGAACTCTTGAATTTCCTACAACTTCTTCGATCATGCAATTTGTTTGCATTCGTTGGACTTTAGAATCATAGGCACTTTCTTCTAATTCTGTTTCATATCCTTGTTTCGAAAAAAATTGGACTGTGTTAAGAATCTACTTCTCATTATAGCTTGCATGAGCACTATATTTTCTTGAGTCTACAATGTTTTGTATCCACTTCTAATATACTGCCAATATAACTTGTTAGTATATGTTTCCAGCTCTTGTTATGACATAGGATGAGGAATTTTTCTGACAATTGTATATCAGGTCTTTATTAATCTCGTATTGGTAACTAATTCAGTTTCCAATAGGTGTAGAAATTTGTTTAGATTTGTTTTACATGCAATTCCATATCTTGTTTGGTCTTCGGTCAAAGAAGATTGCTTTTGAAGTTCAGAAGCACTTTTCTACTAAGTCTAGCTATTAAGTGTGAGTGACTAAAAATCTTAGATTTTGACCCCTAGTCTTGTTTGCCATTAGCCACCAATGGATGCTTTATCAGCTGCTTACAACTTTTGCTTTCTGCTTCTATATTTTTCTTACTTAATTCACCGAGCATTAGTTTCAAAAAAAAAAAAAGTACTAATTGAATATCTGTAGATGCCGTTCCTTTTTCATTTCATTTCATCATTGTGGACCTCTTCTTTCTTTATCTAGAAGCTATCTCAGTATTAGTAACATAGAGGTGGTCCACTCTCCTTACCTTCGTGTGGTTGATCTTTTAGAGATCCAGGGGCAAGCCTTTGCGTGGTTATGAAGATGAGAAATTCAGTTATGTTGCTTTCAGAAGAGGACGACGACCAAGGTAAGCACTATTGCAATCTTATTATTGATGAGGGATCATATAACAATAGTTAAGAAACTTCAAATACAAGTGAGAGTAAACTAAAGAGGAGAATCCGTCAGTCAATTCCTAGTCTCATAGTTTAAATCATCAAGAAGCACTCAAAGGTCATTGGCGCTCTGTTTTTAGTTTGTGTCATCATACTTATTAGTTAGAATTGCTTATTTTTCTGTGAAATTCTTGTATTATTATACACTACATAGTCAATCCTGAAATTTTTAGAGGGGAATTCCTGCTGCTTTTTGTTTGGGAGATTAAAAATGCCATCCATACTTTTTGAATTGGTAATTCAGTCAGTCGTAGGAGGATCTCAATAATTTTTGTAGTTATTCGGTAACTACAACTTGCTTGGGTGATTTTATACATGTAACTTTCCAGAACATTAGAAGCATATGCATATTTTGATATAGCCAGTCTTGTTGAACAGATACAGCTTCTCATTTTACTGCCATCGATAGGGAGAGTAATTTTACATGATAGCAGTTTTTCAAAACCTGCCCTTTAGAAGCCCACATATTGGACGACTTTTGGATGTCTTTTTTCCTGCAGAAAACTTCTGTGTTGTACCTAATATTCATCTCTCTCCCTATCTCCCCCCCCCCCCCCCCCCCTCTCTCTCTCTCTCTCTCTTCCGCTTAAAATGTCTCTTTGCGAGCTTATGTAAGCTCATGATTTCTGAAGCAGAGAACCCTGGCCGCTGGATGGTATGAAATTTGACACGTTGAAGGAGCAACATGCTAAAAGAAGTCCTGAGGATTTAGAGATTGATTATGGTACTTTTGTCTCCTCCTGTGTTAATCTTCAACTTTATTAATATTCAAAATTCTGTTTAGAGAATTTTGTACCATGAATAGAACAAGAGCATGGAAGAATGTAAAACCTCCGATCATATTGCGTTTGTGCTACAACCTTTTGTTCTTTTTACTGGCTAGCTTAGCTATGAACTCTTTTTAAAAGGCCTAATCTCGTATTGCAGAGGACCAAATTGAGTCGGAAGTTGACGATGATGAGCAGGAACAAGATCTCGTTTCCTACAATTCTGACATTACAGAAACTGATGCCATTACTGATGATGATGATGATGATAGTGGGGAAGAAGCAGAAGAAAGAGGCCGTGCTGATGTTGGTGGCGGCTGGGGAAGAATCATTTATTCTCCAATCAGGAGAGGGAAGCGGGTTGAGATGGATGTCTGCCGGGCAATCAATCGGGATGGTACTGAAGGCTCATTCGATCGCATTGTTGTTACACAGCGTAAAAACCCAACGCTGCACCGTCAGGCACGAAGATCCCTCTGGGGAGATTTGTGGCCATTTTGAAATGGTATCAAGTTTTTGGGAATATATATAAATTATTATTATTATTATTTTCTCTCGTAGTTGTAGATGTAAAGTAATTCGTGTTGTATGATGGTGATCAGGCGTTGAGCTAAAATAAAATGTACCGTGTATCAAAGTTTCATATGCCTGATCTCCCTGATCCCGCGCGAGTTTAAAAAAGAGCTATTGTACAGAAAACTTATACTCGGATTCTTTTTTTTTTTTTTTTTTTTGGTATCATCTGAAATCAAAGTCCAATATTATTGGACGCCCAAGAACTATCAAGGACGGTACAATGAATACGAGTGAGGGACCACGGGCAGTTTTGTGCATTTTGCACGTCATGTAATTTTGTTTGCACACCGCGTAATTTTAGAACAAAATTTTGTGGGCTTCATACACGTTATGAAAATCAAGATACAAGACATGATTTGAACCATATAATTTTTTTTGATCAAATTCTGACCATGAAATGTGCAAGGACATGATTTGAACCATATAATTTTTTTTGATCAAATTCTGACCATGAAATGTGCAAGGACGGTCCTTCTGATGGCCGTCCTGCCCCTTATCCACGAGTGAGTGAGTGATGGGGTCGATGGCATTGATGTATCGGTACCACTGGCCTCTTAAATTTTATGACCTTTCATTCACTCCCTCGCTGGCTTCCTTTAATTTTTTTTTTTTTTTGTTTTCTGGTTTCTTTTTATTTTTGGGGGGGGGGGGGGGGGGGTCCTTATTTCCAGTCTTTCCATCGGGAAAATTGTTCTTGTGACCACGGTTGGTACTTATTTGGCCAGACTGGAATCGTACCCTGCGTACGTACTTGCAACAATATTCATGATTTCATTCATTAGTGTGTGTGTGATGGTATTTGTGATCTTACGGATCTGTCGCTGAATTACGTACTTTGAATTAATTGTTTATATTTGACGGAAATGCTCAGATTAATTAATAATATGCCATGTTTGAAGATGTATAACACGTACGTTAATTAATTAAAGTCATGCATGCACACCGCACAGCAACTTCAAGCAAGGATCAAAACTGCTTAGTTAAATCCTACTTCTTCTAATTAGCTGTCCATAAATTATACATAACTCAAAAAAAAAAAAAAAAGGCTACAAGCTAACGTCAACGGCAACGATATTATTAGACTAATAATTGGACGAAACTTGTTTTACAAAAATTACTCGCATCTTGATAACTTAACCTTCTCTTTATTAGATTAGATGTGCAATATCAATCTTGCGAATCTTGCTCCTTATGACTTCGCCTTTTTTGTGTGTGTTACTAGGTTTTTTTTAACAAACCCATGATGACATTAACGAGGAAGCAAAGGTACAGCGGTCACCAACAGGGATTGGTCCGAGTGGTAAGCGGTTCGGATTCGCTTAAGCAGGTCTTGTGTTCGAGTCCTAGTGTATGCAGACACCCCTGTTGGGAGACTCTCCCATCATAGTCAGGTGCGTGATGCGGGTCGGGTTCGGATTAGTCGGGGCAAAAGCTTAGGACACCGAACGGGCAACCAAAAAAAAAAAAATGTACAGCGGTCACAATTTTATATCAATAATAAAATCATGAAACAGCGACAATACAATATACTAATAATATTTTATGGACAATGGTCTGACATAGGTGATCCAATGTGGACCTCTGTAGCTTGTTATCATTCATTTATTATTTTGTTACTATTAGGACTCAGATGGAGTAGCAGACTAGTAGTTATTTTTTTTGTTCTATATATAAATATCTAATGGGATGGAGGAATCAAGTGGCCCTTGACAATCCGGAACACCACTGCATGTTTCCCTCATTTGTCTCTCACGGCGATGTCATGAAAAATGATTAATACATAGTCCACCGTACCGTAATTATAAAGAAAAGCATTTTCTTAGGTTGATCACTGAGGACGGCTCAGGAGCCGCCTGCACAGTTCACAATAATGGCGCTTTGATAAATTATTTTTTAATTGATTTTTGCTGAATAAATTAAACAAGGCAGATCACATGTGCATGCATATATATATATAGATATATATATCAAGCTGCCTTTTGAAAAAGTAGCATGGATCCCAGTGACCAGCCAATTCAGAGGAGGATGCAGGACCTAATTTTTATTGAGGGAGGATCTAATCAAGTCAAGTTGAACTTGAGTATTACCTACTCAATTCAATTCAATTTAAAGTTTGTTAGTTTTTTAAGGTATAAATTAAGAAATAACACATTTAGGAAAAAAAAAAAAAGAAGAATAAGCTAGAGGGCTTAAATCCAAAGCCTTTCACTTGTACTTCCTTTCCTTCCAATCATCCAACCCATCTCTCACCCCCATCATAAACCACACTTTAGTTAGTGTTGCAAAAAAGAAAAAAAATACTTTACTATTCATTGATCAATTAACACCTTAGTTCATTTTAATTGATAATATTTCATTCTGAATCAAATTATAAGCCAATATCCTTGTGAAAACGGCATCATTAAAAAAAAATGACATGTGAATGCTAGCCTTCGATCTCTGTCTAATTGTAACTCTGTGGCCTTTAATTTGTGTATCTATTAATTCTTCTTCAAATAGTGGTAAAACAAATTTTGTCTTCACCATATCTCATAGATTATTGACTACCAAATAAGTCTAAAATTTAACAGCCTAATTTTGGTAAGTATCATTACCAAAAGTTGAAACATTTGACAAAAAAATTCCTTCCTACCATAGCTTTAAACTGACGAAGGATCTTCGCCAAATACACTCTCTCAAAAAGTAACCTTTTCCAAATGTAGGGATGGCAACGAGGGCGAGCACCCGCGGGGGGTCATTGGGGCGGGGGCAGGAGGGAATTTTTTTTCCCCCCCGTTTAGAAATGGGGCGGGGGACGGGGGCCCCACCCCACCACCAGTTTGAAAAACTATATATATATGTACATAATTATATATATAATGATATTTTTAATTATACTACTAATTATACATGCCTATTAATAAAAATTATTAATTATTTATACTAAATTTATTAATATATTTATTTTAAATTCCTAACTACACTTAATACAATAACACTTTTTTCTAAAAAAAATACAATAATAATTTAGTGATTGTATTTGTATCAAAAGTGAAAACTTGATTATTTTAGTTATATTTGTTTTATCATATTAGATTGCATTCAAATATCCTTTGTTTAATTATTTTTATGAGTTTCAATAGTAAAGTTATAATGAATAATAATTTGGTGATGTATTAACATTTTAGTACTTGATTATTTGCTCAAATTTAATTATAATGAAATTATATAATAAAATTTAATGAAATTTAATTTTAGTACTTCCCCCGCGGGGGAAGCGGGGTGGGGCGGGGGCGAGAGGAATTAAAATGCAACAGGGCGGGGATGGGGCAGGGGACAAAATGCAACAGGGGCGCAGTTGTACCCCCCCCCCCTTTTCAAGGTGTACCATAATCCTGCTTGTATTACTATTTCAATATTTTGTTATGCTCAACTTGTTCTCGATGTAGAAGTTTTTTTTTTTTTTAATCAGTAATGATACATTTATATAAAATACTCTATCATAATCTAGAATAGAGTAGGAGCCTTAGGAGGTTAGTGAGTATACAGATCCAACTAGACCAAGGAAGTGCTATGGCACAACCCTTAGATTTTTTTCGCTACAAGTGAAGTTTAAACTCTCACTTACAACCCAAGAAGAGACTTAAGCTTCTCTTTGGTGGCCACTAGCCATTGGCCCAGTGGTTGACGTAGAAGTTGATATGTTTGGCTATAGCTTTTTGTTTTTTTTTTGGGTTAGAAGTGAACAAAATGTTTGTTGTACTATGCTGATGTCTTTTCCCTGGGAAGGTGTACGCCGGTTCATTAGCACGTGGAACACAAGAACTCGTCTGATTAATCATTCCACAAGGACCACAACCCTTTATTAAATAACAAAATCAATCGCTTTACAGAACCATCTGAAAATAAATTTATAAAGCACAGGCCCCACTGATCACAATATCAACAGAAATGTTCTGAAAATAAGTGAAAAAGAAAAGGAGGTAAAATGAACGAAAAACTAATCACGAACATTAAAATCTTAAATTAAAAAAAAAAACTAATCATGAACATTGCAGGACTCAGGCAGCTAATTAAAGAAGTCGAAGGTATTCATCATAAACCTTGTCCAGCAGATTAATATCACTCACCGGAGCTGCTTGTAATGACAGATCGCAATCATCATCATCATAAAAAAGGATCTGATTCTCATCAGAAATCTCAAATATTCGCTCGTAACTTTGATCATCAAGCTCAAATGAAGACCAAGAAATATCTGAGACTTGGGACGTTTTTGCTTCCTCTTCCAGCTTGTCAACTACTTCTTCACCTTCTTCTTGATTTGATGATGATTTATTAGTGCTACCGCTAGCTACACTTCCAAAACTGTTACTCTTCGCAAAGTCGGAGCATATTTTGATGGGTTTTGGCCGGTACACTTGTGCCATATTGATAGTGGCATTATCGTTACCACTAAACTCCTCTCGGTGAAGAACATCTTCTGTGCTACTGGTGGCAGTGGTGTTATGAAAATGATCGGGCAGCTTCTTGTTCGACTTCTTTTTGGTGGGCTGTTTGCTGCTCTTCTTGGACAGAGATGTAGAGGATTTTTGGGGCTGGATTCCTCCTTTGTGGAGTCGCTTAAGTAGACGAGTGTTCCAATGGTTCTTTATTTCATTGTCAGTTCGGCCGGGCAACCTTGCAGCTATGAGCGACCAGCGATTGCCTAGCAGGGATTGGAGTCGAATAATGAGGTCCTCCTCAGCTGCTGTGATGTCTCCTCTCTTGATACCCGGCCGAAGATAATTCATCCATCTTAATCTGCAACTCTTGCCACATCTGAGCAGCCCTTTACATGTCACGGCCCACACCCCAAAAAAAAAAAACACCAAAAGGGAAAGGAAAAAGAAAACTACATGATCAATTTTGAATCAGTCAAGGCTAAATGCAAAAGCACATGGACAACCTTCTGTTGAAGGGTTGGTTGCACAATAGTACTAATAACCAGAGAGAGTATAAACGAATTAATCAACGTGCCGTGCCATTAGAGAAATTTAATATTAATGATTACCAGCTTTTTTGGGCAAAGATCTCCATTGGCCTTCACCATTGGCTTGAACATAATCAGTGAGCAACTTGTCTTCCTTCGGAGACCAAGGACCTCTCTGCAATCCCACTTTAGAACAACAAGGGGCTCTTCCCATTTTTCGACAATTGCCTCCTATAAGAATTATCAACTGATCAAGTCTGCTTACTACAGAGGAGTAAAAAAGAAAGGAGGGAATGACGGTGACTATAGGAGCCAAGCCTCTTCTCTTAATTCCAGAGCACGAACAACTTATAACTTGCCACAGCCATAAATAATGCTAGTTTAGACAGGGCGAGCTTTGGTGTCTGCATGTGATTGTATCCAGAGATATAAAATAATTATTTTCCATGAGTTTCATGCTTCTCCCTTTTTTCATGGGGAGAGCTCATTTAATAATATGGTGACAGCTGTCAGTTTTTGTGTGGGTGTGTGTATTTGGTTTTACGGTGTTTGAAAAGAAAATCTACAATAAAAATAGTCTGAAATGTGCTCTATGACTACAATGTTTTTTTTTTTTTTTGGTTTTAAAAATTATGGTAATATTTAAAAAAGAAAAGAGGGCAGCCATCCAATTGAAGCCTAAAATTCGAGTAAAACAACGAATGTCTGGAAAGGAGTAGTACTAGTTTGTTTGATATGGTGGAATGTTTTGATTTACGGGTGAGAGAGACCAAAAGAAAAGGCAAAGATATAGAGTTGCACGTTTTTTGTGAAGCGAGTTTTTTTTTTTTTTTGGAGTCTGAAGCGAGTAATTCATTTTTCTTTGCATATCATATCATACGAGTATGTGCTAACATTTGAAAACGTGATGTCTGCTACGAATGAAATCATTGGGGATTTTTGCTGGAGATTGTGTTCAATTTGTCCAGCTCCTTTGTAATTCGTATGAAATGGACATATAAGAAAATTTGCACCCCTTAGCTCCGCCGCCACCGTGCGTCAACTTTTTTCTACCAAAACTAATAAAATGTTGTTGCATTTTGTTTCTTCACCTCGCCCTTACAAGCTGACTTGCCCGCACCCAGTAGGTCGTGGAAGTGGAGGTAAATGGAGTAAAGCAAAGAAGTGGAGTGCGCATAAAGAAGTGCAGGTATTACAGGACGTTTCTTTCCTCTCGAAGTCTGAATATATAATAGTTCAGTTCAGTTACAGAGTGACTAGTGTTCCCATTTTTAATGACCAAGTCAAGTAGTGCTATTAATCGTCTGGCATATATGTTCAATGAAGGTATTTGGAGAACAGCGGGTGCGTAGGAATGTGCGTTAACATGTGCAAAATACCCACACAAGACTTCTTCACCGACGAATTTGGGCTTCCATTAACTATGACCCCAAGTAGTACATATATACTGTGTGTTTTTTGTTTTGTTACCTTCCTTGTTCTAAACATTTAAATGACCCAACACAAGTCCTGCTGCGCGCTGTTGGAAAATGCAGATTTCGAAGATATGAGCTGTGAGATGGTGTACGGGCAGGCTCCACCGCCATTTGAAGATGACCCGGCATCCAAACAACCTTGTTTTGCAGATATTTGTAAGCGCCAACTGCTAAAGGTTGGGAGGCTTGAAGGATGCATGTCATCTCCTTTCCTAATTAATTAATTAATTATTGGGGTATATTTTGCAGGCTCTTTGGCAAATCCCAATTCGAGCGTCTGTCCCAAGCTGCAAACCTAACAGAAACAGCTCCTATTTCATTTCTTCGGGAAGTGTTGGGGGCCGTGACTATGGCGCGACATTCAAAAGTAACAGAAAAAGATCAAACTCGCAGGAATTGTTTGTTTGAACTAATGGGACTGCTCTATCTTTGACTAGCGAACTCGTAGTCGTAGCATTCCGCGTAATTAATGCATATAAGTTCGCCAATCACACTACTGTAATATGCTGGTTTCTGGTGTTGAGACTTTTTTTAACTCACTTTGATGACCTTGTCGTCATTTCCTTTTGACAACATTTTTGTTTTCATTCCTTAGTCAGCACTTTGCTATAGGTTGAACAGACCAAAAAAAGAAGAAAGTCCAAGGTTGCAGACTCTCCCACAAATCCAACAAACATGCAAAAGAAAGTCCTTAAGAGGAATGCATTTTCCTGGTCCCTTTAATGATTTTTTTTTTTTAAAAAAAATATATATCTCTTAAAAGGATTGCACTATTATAGAGAGAGAGGAAGCAACAAGTGCAGATGGTAGAATGGAATCCCATTTCCTCTGTATAACGTCGACATGAAATACTACCTACTGCTGCTACTGGTACTACTACTTCCAATTCCAATCCTAACAAAAAATTCAACAACAAATTGGTGCTGGCTTTGTAGGCTTCCAAGCACCCCTTCCACCTTGAATTACGCCTTCTTAATATAATCACATGCTCAAACAGCAGCATTTCTTATTCCCTCCTAAACCACCCCAAAATAAATACAAACAAGTACTGTAAATAAAATCACGCAGTCGCTGAGTTTGAAATTTGCGTTCCCAAAAGTCACATGACGAATCAAACATGCATCCTCCTTCACCTTCACGGGTCAAATCCAAGGCCCTTCCCTGTATGTCATATGACAGCATCACATTTTTTTTTTTTTTTTTTGCATGCAAGCAACTCAAAATTGCAATTATAGAGATCACAGATTTTTATTTTTTTAATTTTTTTGGGGGGGAGGGGGGGTTCTTGGATTCCCCCCCTTTATCTATCCATAGCTGAACGCAGCCCAGTGTGGATAAAATTTGTCCCGTCACGAACATGAATGAGAGGAAAACCTGGTGCTCGTTTGTAACTGTAGTGCACGGGATGATGCGAGTTTGAAAATGACTTCCATTCAAAGATTAATTTGTATGTGTCTTTTTTGACTGTCTCATACTTTTTGTTTTTTTTTTTGGGGCTTATTATTCTTCCCACCGTTACGGGCGGTAGCTTTTGCTTGTAAGTATTATGCTAGTAGTAGAGTAGTAGGACACACACACACACTATTATCCGAATTGGCGCAGCTGAATCCGTCCGTGAATGGATGATGCGTCCAAGCTTTCAAACACACTACTCAGTACTCACTCTCTCATGCACGCATTCACCAACGAACTTAACTACCCCCATTCTCCCATCCATCCAATTCTTCTTTCTATAAAGAGGAGGTGCCAATGCCAAAAAAACAAAAACATAGTCTAGTGAATGCTTCGCTTCTAAAGGATAGAGCCTCCTTATAAGTTTATTTTCACTTTGGAAAAACGAACATGACTTCTTGCCTTCCTAAGTTTACCATAAAATTACTACTGATTCTATGCTTCTCCTTATCCTCCTCTCATGCATTCACCACTCGAGACTATTCTGATGCCCTTGAAAAATCCATTCTCTTCTTTGAAGGGCAGAGATCAGGGAAGCTGCCCTCGAACCAACGACTTTCGTGGAGGGGTGACTCTGCATTGTCCGACGGCTCTGGTTACCATGTACTTAATTAATACTACTAATGTATACATGCTCTCCAATTAGTGGGTGGAGTAATAGTTTTTTTGACGGCTTATTTTTGTCATCGTGGATTACAGGTTGATCTTGCGGGAGGTTATTATGATGCAGGAGACAATGTCAAGTTTGGCCTGCCAATGGCTTTCACTACTACTCTATTTGCATGGAGCATAATTGAGTTTGGTAGCTCCATGCATAACCAACTTGAGAATGCCAAAGCCGCTGTCCGCTGGGGTGCCGATTATCTTTTGAAAGCAGCCACAGCAACTCCTGCTACCTTATACGCTCAAGTGAGAAACTCCGCACTTGATAAAAAAAAAAAACATTTACTAATTCATAGCTGTTTTAGGAGTAGATTAAGGTACATCATTAACCATACCGCCGCCGAATTGATTGATTTCTGGGAATGTTTTGTCTTCTACAATAGAAAATTGCAAACAAGCTTTATTTCCTCTAAATGGAGCAGGTTGGAGATCCGAATATAGACCATCGTTGCTGGGAAAGGCCAGAGGACATGGACACACCTCGGAATGTGTATAAAGTGACCTCCCAAAACCCAGGATCAGACGTAGCAGCAGAGACAGCAGCAGCACTGGCAGCAGCCTCTATTGTGTTCAAAGATTCCGATCCTCATTATTCCACCAAATTATTGCACACAGCAATGGAGGTTAGTTTTTCACTACTAATTTCGACTCCCCAACTTTTTATTACCACTCCCTTCTCATAAAAAACAATCCCGAACAAATGCAACTGCAGGTGTTTGATTTTGCAGACAGGCACAGGGGCTCTTACAGTGACTCTCTCAATTCTGTTGTCTGCCCATTTTACTGCTCATATTCAGGATACCAAGTGAGACGAACGAAACAGTTTCATAGGTTTTCTTTAATGTCCCTAGCGTAGGTTCATCTGTCACAACTTACCATCTCCTGCTCTGCTCTCATGGATTTAGGATGAGCTATTGTGGGGAGCTTCTTGGCTTCATACAGCTTCAGAAAATTCCTCGTATTTGGCTTACATCCAATCAAATGGCCACACACTTGGCGCAGATAATGACGATTATTCCTTTAGTTGGGATGACAAACGCCCCGGAACAAAAGTTCTGCTTGCAAAGGTTTTTTTTTTTTTTTTTTGTTTTTTGCCTTCCCTTCTTTCCTGCAATACAAATAAACAAATTCGTTAAATTACATGCTCAATGCTTCTCCGATGCAACTTCACATAGGGTTTCTTGGAGAAGAGCACCCAAGAATTTCAGCTGTATAAAGCACATTCTGACAGCTACATCTGCTCTTTGATACCGGGAATGCCAAATTTCCAGGCCCAGTATACCCCAGGTGTGCTGGAGAAAATTGTTATTATTATTTTTTTTATGACTTTCGTTTCCCTCACAGAATCAGCCGCCCATATTGTGGTGCTTAGTGGTTTCGTTATGCTAAATTTGATTCTGGCTGTCTCAAAATCAACAACATTGGTTGACAGGGGACTTCTCTATAAACAAAGTGAGAGCAATCTCCAGTATGTTACCTCTTCGTCTTTCCTTCTCCTAACATATGCCAAGTATTTACGCTCGAATGGAGGAGTTGCAGCATGTGGGTCTCAACTATCACAGCAGATAAGATCATAGAAACTGCAAAGAGACAGGTTGACTATATATTAGGAGATAATCCAGCAAAAATGTCATACATGGTGGGTTTTGGGCAAAGGTATCCCCAGCATGTTCACCACAGAGGTTCCTCTGTGCCATCAGTGCATGCACATCCGGGACGTGTTAGCTGCAGTGACGGATTTCAATATCTCTATTCCCGCTTGCCTAATCCAAATATTCTCGTGGGAGCCATCTTAGGAGGGCCTGATAGCAGAGACAATTTCGCTGATGACAGAAACAACTATCAGCAATCTGAGCCAGCAACTTATATAAATGCCCCTTTTGTTGGGGCTGTGGCTTTCTTCTCAGACGGATCCACAACAGTCTAACATTTTCATTGCCTTTAATGGAGATAAAAATCTGCTCCAAAAATGTTGTGATTCAGAACAAGTTGGCACGATTTTGACAATTACTACTAGTGTTGTTTTGTCCCTCGTCCAATTTTGAGGGTTCTACAATTTGACCATTCAAGCAGAATGACGAAACTCTTTTTAAACTAAGAAACATGAACTACAGGAAAATTGTGGAGGCATTAATCTTTTGTGAAGATAATGATCAAAGTGTACTAGCGTCAAAATGCAGAATAAGATGATCAAAGTCTTTTTCCTGCCTAACTCACGGCACCTCAAACACGATTAGTCCAGAGAGACAATAGAGATCCCTAACTCTGAACGAGAGGCATTAACTTAATTGCTTAACAATCAAAGAAGGGGAAAACTAAATAAAAATAAAAGAGCAAAAGAAAAAATAAAGGGCAAGAAACATCTCCTGAACTCCTTTTATGCATACATTTCACATAGCTGCTCCTTGGCCAATGCGAACTCTTCCTCTCTATATCCATTCACAATTGATTTTTGGATCAAAAAATGGCATGCTTACTATTTACCACTATGTTTTGACCAAAAGAGAATACTCCATACTATTTGGTTAACGTGAATTTAAAAATGTCGAGATTTAAGACCAAGGTGCCCAGCTTGTTTGCCTGTTAGCTCAGGAAAGGCACACGGGATCCTCGGCGTCATTTTTTCAGTGGTAATTCAGTGTCACTTCTATATTTATGTCAAGTGTTCTGTTTATTTAATTTGTCATGTACTGTTTATTTAAATTTTTTTTACCATCACGTGATAAGTGGGATTGACACTGGATTTGACATTGAATAGTGACATAGAGGATCCCAACTGAAGAAAAGGAGAGGGATTGGAGTGATTTGGTTTTTGTTGTTTCGATTGACTTTTGAGGGGGAAAGGAAAGGTTTAGGGAGGGAAAGAGCGGAGAAGAATCTAATTATTCGATTGAATTATGCTTAGAAGGAAAATGAAATTAAATAATTTACAATTTTATTAAAAGTTTATTTTTTCGCTATCTTTTCAACTAAATTAACACTTAAACAGAAGTTTAAGCAGAAATTCAATATTTGTTTTCTTTTCCTTTCATATTTAATTCAGATACGATTCGATGGGAATCACTTTTCATTTCCTTTCTTTTCCATTGCTACCCTTCCCTTCCTTCAATCCAAACGGAGCCTAAATCAGGAGATTAATTAATTTTATAAAAAGGATAAAAAAAAATGGCGCGCCGGCTCTACCACTACCTACAGGCTACAGTGTAGAAGAAGGAAAGGGAAGAGCGGAGAAAGAGAAAAGAGACGGAGATCTGAGCTTCTTCTGTTCTTCCGAGGATGACGATGATGATCAACTCCATCAACATTTATGTCCTTCTTCTTCTCCTCATCTCTCCGGCAGTCGTAATCGCTGAGATTCGATCCTCCGAGATTCGCAACGATGCACGTGGCATCATCCCCTTGGACGAGTTCGGCTTCACTCACGGGGCCGCCTCGACCTCAACGTCTTCTCCATCTCCCT